CCCTGGCTTATACACCCGTGGCCCTGATGACACAACCCCCTGGCTTATACACCCGTGGCCCTGATGACACAACCCTGGCTTATACACCCGTGGCCCTGATGACACAACCCTGGCTTATACACCCGTGGCCCTGATGACACAACCCCCTGGCTTATACACCCGTGGCCCTGATGACACACCCCCCTGGCTTATACACCCGTGGCCCTGATGACACAACCCTGGCTTATACACCCGTGGCCCTGATGACACAACCCTGGCTTATACACCCGTGGCCCTGATGACACAACCCTGGCTTATACACCCGTGGCCCTGATGACACAATGGCTTATACACTGATGACACAACCCTGGCTTATACACCCGTGGCCCTGATGACACTACCCTGGCTTATACACCCGTGGCCCTGATGACACAACCCTGGCTTATACACCCGTGGCCCTGATGACACAAGCCCCTGGCTTATACACCCGTGGCCCTGATGACACAACCCCCTGGCTTATACACCCGTGGCCCTGATGACACAAGCCCCTGGCTTATACACCCGTGGCCCTGATGACACAACCCTGGCTTATACACCCGTGGCCCTGATGACACAACCCTGGCTTATACACCCGTGGCCCTGATGACACAACCCTGGCTTATACACCCTGGCCCTGATGACACAACCCTGGCTTATACACCCGGCCCTGATGACACAACCCTGGCTTATACACCCGTGGCCCTGATGACACAACCCTGGCTTATACACCCGTGGCCCTGATGACACAACCCCCTGGCTTATACACCCGTGGCCCTGATGACACAACCCCCTGGCTTATACACCCGTGGCCCTGATGACACAACCCCCTGGCTTATACACCCGTGGCTCTGATGACACAATAAGAAAACAACATAGGAAGCAAGGCAAAGACTCAACCCAAATTGCTGCACAGCCTCACCAGGGGAAAGACAACAATGAAGGAACAGGTAATGAAACTGAGGGTAGGAGCAGAAAGATTCACTGCAAACGACAAGGAAGTGTGTGAGGAACTCAATAAGAAATTCCAGGAAGTCTTCACGTTAGATCAAGGAGAAGTTCTAGAGATAAGAGAAGAGAAGGAATAGTAAACCTGCACCACTAGAGGAATTTGAGATTATCAGTGGGGATGTAAGGAAAGTTTTGCTAGAGTTGGATGTGACAAAGGCTATAGGCCCCGGATGGAATATCGCCATGGATACTAAAGGAAGGAGCAGCAGCAGCACTGTGCCTCCCACTCTCCATAGTGTACAACAAATCACTGGTATCAGGTGAACTGCCAAAAATTTGGAAGACAGCAAACGTAGTCCCGATATACAAGGGTGATAGACAGGAGGCACTGAACTACAGACCAGTGTCCCTAACTTGTATAGCATGCAAGCTGATGGAGAAGATTGTGCAAAAAAAGCTAGTGGAACATCTGGAGCAAAAGAACTTTGTAACACAACATCAACATGGGTTCAGGGATGGCAAGTCCTGCCTCACAGAATTAATTGAATTCTATGACCAGGCAACAAAAATCAGGCAAGAAAGAGAGGGGGTGGGCAGACTGCATATTTTTGGATTGCCAGAAAGCCTTTGACGCAGTACCACACCAGAGACTAGTGTGAAAGCTGGAGATGCAGGCAGGAGTGAAAGGGAAGGTACTCCATTAGATAAGGGAGTACCTAAGCAACAGAAGACAACGAGTCACTGTGAGGGGTGAGGTCTCAGACGGGCTAGACGTCACCAGTGGAGTCCCGCAGGGTTCAGTCCTTGGACCCATATTGTTTCTGATATATGTAAATGATCTACCAGAGGGTATAGAATCATTCCTCTCATTGTTTGCTGATGATGCAAAAATTATGAGGGTTAAGACGGAGGAAGATACTATGAGGCTACAAGATGACCTAGACAAACTGAATGAATGGTCCAACAAATGGCTGCTAAAGTTCAACCCGAGTAAACGCAAAGTAATGAAACTAGGCGGTGGAAACAGGAGGCCAGACACAGGATATAGAATGGGAGATGAAGTACCTAATGAAACAGACAGAGAGAAAGATCTGGGAGTTGATATCACACCAAACCTGTCTCCTGAAGCCCACATCAAAAGAATAACATCGGCGGTATACGCAAGGCTGGCTAACTTCAGAACAGCCTTCAGGAACCTGTGTAAGGAATCATTCAGAACCTTGTATACCAGTTCTTTCTGCCCCAGGGGTGTGTTCCTCCCCCCAGGGGTGTGTTCCTGCCCCAGGGGTGTGTTCCTCCCCCCAGGGGTGTGTTCCTGCCCCAGGGGTGTGTTCCTCCCCCCAGGGGTGTGTTCCTGCCCCAGGGGTGTGTTCCCCCATGGGTGTGTTCCTCCCCCATGGGTGTGTTCCTCCCCCACGGGTGTGTTCCTCCCCCAGGGGTGTGTTCCTCCCCCACGGGTGTGTTCCTCCCCCAGGGGCGTGTTCCTGCCCCAGGGGCGTGTTCCTGCCCCAGGGGCGTGTTCCTGCCCCAGGGGTGTGTTCCTCCCCCCAGGGGTGTGTTCCTCCCCCATGGGTGTGTTCCTCCCCCATGGGTGTGTTCCTCCCCCATGGGTGTGTTCCTCCCCCCAGGGGTGTGTTCCTCCCCCAGGGGTGTGTTCCTCCCCCATGGGTGTGTTCCTCCCCCATGGGTGTGTTCCTCCCCCAGGGGTGTGTTCCTCCCCCATGGGTGTGTTCCTCCCCCAGGGGTGTGTTCCTGCCCCAGGGGTGTGTTCCTCCCCCACGGGTGTGTTCCTCCCCCAGGGGTGTGTTCCTCCCCCACGGGTGTGTTCCTCCCCCACGGGTGTGTTCCTCCCCCAGGGGTGTGTTCCTCCCCCAGGGGCGTGTTCCTGCCCCAGGGGTGTGTTCCTCCCCCCAGGGGTGTGTTCCTCCCCCAGGGGTGTGTTCCTGCCCCAGGGGTGTGTTCCTCCCCCAGGGGCGTGTTCCTGCCCCAGGGGTGTGTTCCTCCCCCAGGGGTGTGTTCCTCCCCCAGGGGCGTGTTCCTGCCCCAGGGGTGTGTTCCTCCCCCCAGGGGTGTGTTCCTCCCCCAGGGGTGTGTTCCTGCCCCAGGGGCGTGTTCCTCCCAGAGGGGTGTGTTCCTGCCCCAGGGGCGTGTTCCTGCCCCAGGGGCGTGTTCCTGCCCCAGGGGCGTGTTCCTGCCCCAGGGGCGTGTTCCTGCCCCAGGGGCGTGTTCCTGCCCAGGGGCGTGTTCCTGCCCCAGGGGCGTGTTCCTCCCCCAGGGGCGTGTTCCTGCCCCAGGGGCGAGTTCCTGCCTTAGGGGTGTGTTCCTGCCCCAGGGGCGTGTTCCTGCCCCAGGGGTGTGTTCCTGCCACAGGGGTGTGTTCCTGCCACAGGGGTGTGTTCCTGCCCCAGGGGTGTGTTCCTGCCCCAGGGGTGTGTTCCTGCCCCAGGGGTGTGTTCCTGCCCCAGGGGTGTGTGTTCCTCCCCCAGGGGTGTGTTCCTCCCCCAGGGGTGTGTTCCTGCCCCAGGGGTGTGTTCCCCCCCCAGGGGCGTGTTCCTGCCCCAGGGGCGTGATCCTCCCCCAGGGGCGTGTTCCTCCCCCAGGGGCGTGTTCCTGCCCCACGGGTGTGTTCTTGCCCCAGGGGCGTGTTCCTCTCCCTGGGGCGTGTTCCTTCCCCAGGGGCGTGTTCCTCCCCCAGGGGCGTGTTCCTTCCCCAGGGGCGTGTTCCTCCCCCAGGGGTGTGTTCCTCCCCCAGGGGTGTGTTCCTGCCCCAGGGGTGTGTTCCTCCCCCCAGGGGTGTGTTCCTCCCCCAGGGGTGTGTTCCTCCCCCAGGGGCGTGTTCCTCCCCCAGGGTGTGTTCCTCCCCCAGGGTGTGTGTTCCTCCCCCAGGGTGTGTGTTCCTCCCCCAGGGTGTGTGTTCCTCCCCCAGGGGTGTGTTCCTCCCAGAGGGGAGTGTTCCCTCCCCCAGGGAAGTGTTCCCTCCCCCAGGGAAGTGTTCCCTCCCCCAGGGGAGTGTTCCCTCCCCCAGGGGAGTGTTCCCTCCCCCAGGGAAGTGTTCCCTCCCCCAGGGGTGTGGGGCTGGTGGACACTAACCTGTGTGTTCCTCCCCCAGGGGTGTGGTGCTGGTGGACACTAACCCGTGTGTTCCTCCCCCAGGGGTGTGGTGCTGGTGGACACTAACCCGTGTGTTCCTCCCCCAGGGGTGTGGTGCTGGTGGACACTAACCCGTGTGTTCCTCCCCCAGGGGTGTGGTGCTGGTGGACACTAACCCTTGTGTTCCTCCCCCAGGGGTGTGGTGCTGGTGGACACTAACCCTTGTGTTCCTCCCCCAGGGGTGTGGTGCTGGTGGACACTAACCCGTGTCTTCCTCCCCCAGGGGTGTGGTGCTGGTGGACACTAACCCGTGTGTTCCTCCCCCAGGGGTGTGGTGCTGGTGGACACTAACCCGTGTGTTCCTCCCCCAGGGGTGTGGTGCTGGTGGACACTAACCCGTGTGTTCCCTCCCCCAGGGGTGTGGTGCTGGTGGACACTAACCCGTGTGTTCCTCCCCCAGGGGTGTGGTGCTGGTGGACACTAACCCTTGTGTTCCTCCCCCAGGGGTGTGGTGCTGGTGGACACTAACCCGTGTGTTCCTCCCCCAGGGGTGTGGTGCTGGTGGACACTAACCCGTGTGTTCCTCCCCCAGGGGTGTGGTGCTGGTGGACACTAACCCGTGTGTTCCTCCCCCAGGGGTGTGGTGCTGGTGGACACTAACCCGTGTGTTCCTCCCCCAGGGGTGTGGTGCTGGTGGACACTAACCCGTGTGTTCCTCCCCCAGGGGTGTGGTGCTGGTGGACACTAACCTGTGTGTTCCTCCCCCAGGGGTGTGGTGCTGGTGGACACTAACCCGTGTGTTCCTCCCCCAGGGGTGTGGTGCTGGTGGACACTAACCCGTGTGTTCCTCCCCCAGGGGTGTGGTGCTGGTGGACACTAACCCGTGTGTTCCTCCCCCAGGGGTGTGGTGCTGGTGGACACTAACCCGTGTGTTCCTCCCCCAGGGGTGTGGTGCTGGTGACCTTCCCACTGTCAGTGGTCGACCTCAACCAGTGTGATGACTCAGATGACATCCTTGGTCATCACCTCTTCGGTGGCACCCATAAGTGTGACGTCTCCACCACCAGGGTGAGTACCATAAGTGTGACGTCTCCACCACCGGGGTGAGTACCATAAGTGTGACGTCTCCACCACCAGGGTGAGTACCCTAAGTGTGACGTCTCCACCACCAGGGTGAGTACCATAAGTGTGACGTCTCCACCACCAGGGTGAGTACCATAAGTGTGACGTCTCCACCACCAGGGTGAGTACCATAAGTGTGACGTCTCCACCACCGGGGTGAGTACCATAAGTGTGACGTCTCCACCACCAGGGTGAGTACCATAAGTGTGACGTCTCCACCACCAGGGTGAGTACCATAAGTGTGACGTCTCCACCACCAGGGTGAGTACCATAAGTGTGACGTCTCCACCACCAGGGTGAGTACCATAAGTGTGACGTCTCCACCACCAGGGTGAGTACCATAAGTGTGACGTCTCCACCACCAGGGTGAGTACCATAAGTGTGACGTCTCCACCACCGGGGTGAGTACCATAAGTGTGACGTCTCCACCACCAGGGTGAGTACCATAAGTGTGACGTCTCCACCACCAGGGTGAGTACCATAAGTGTGACGTCTCCACCACCAGGGTGAGTACCATAAGTGTGACGTCTCCACCACCAGGGTGAGTACCATAAGTGTGACGTCTCCACCACCAGGGTGAGTACCATAAGTGTGACGTCTCCACCACCGGGGTGAGTACCATAAGTGTGACGTCTCCACCACCAGGGTGAGTACCATAAGTGTGACGTCTCCACCACCAGGGTGAGTACCATAAGTGTGACATCACCACCACCAGTGTAAGTACCATAAGTGTGACAAAGTACCCAAAGGTTAGCTCCTCAACATCACCTGTGGTTGGTGTAGACACTTTTTAACACTGAAAGGTGCAATGATTATAGTTAAACAATTATAAAATAGGTCAATTGTAAAATATGTTCACCTGTCAAATAAGCAATTATCAAAAGAAGGCACCAAACCGGGAAGGCTATGTAGCACCATCAAATGTGCGGGATAATTAGAGGGCGCTAAATATCACCAAGGATGCCAATATGAGAACAGAAACGCATAAGGTGAATGATATCAAAAGTATCCGAGTTGCCAAGAATTCTATAGAGGGACAAGCGACCGCAGGGGACGGTCGGAAAACAAGACATGCATGGTGAAGCATCTCATTATGAATGCCATCGGAGCCCGCCACCGTAGAACTGCAGAGGGCCAGGGCACACCGAAGTTCAGAGAGAGAGAAGGGATCGTTATAGGGAAGTCGAAGATGAGTGCAGAAATCTAAAGGACGAGATTCAAGGACAGGTTTACGAAGAAGGAAAGATTGGGAAAGATGAAAACCAGAGCTAACAGAAGAAAAGTGGGAACCCAGTTCAGTAGCGACCTGCAACGGGTCCACCACAAGAGTACCACGGAGGTGAAGGACCGGCGAGACATTGGGACGATCTTACCCGCTATCTTGTGGATACGCTTCCAGATCTTCAGCAGAGGAGTTTCGGACGTTATGGTGAAGACATAAGACATCCAACATTCACGTTTAGTCATACGGATGGCCCTATGGGCCACCGCACTTGCCTTCCGAAAGAAAAGAAAAGAATCGGCCGTCTCTTGGCCGTGGTGTGTCTTCCAGACTGCACGCTTACAGTGGACAGCTCGAGCACAGTCTGCATTCCACCAGGGAACGCACTTCCACGGTCCCCAAGAGGAAGAGCGAGGAATAGAGCGGAGGGCAGCGTTGAAGACGGTGTCATGAAAAAGGAGGAGAGAACGAGGGAGAGGCAGAAGGGAGAGGTCAGAGAGAGCAGCACTTGAGGGTAAAGAGGTTCCAGTGTGCCTATGCAAACTGCCACCTAGGGTAGGAGAGGGGAGGGTGAAAAGAGAAAAAGGTAACAACGATGGGGAAATAAGTCACTGGCATGGAGGTGATCAAGAACCTGCCACGTGAAATCTAAGTAAAGAGATGACGAGCAAAGAGAAAGATCAAGACAGGAAAGGGTGCGAGTCCGAAAGTCCAAATGCATGGGCTCACCAGAATTCAGAAGAGATAAGGAAGAAGAGAGGGTGAACGACTCAAGAAGGCGACCCCTGGGTGTTCGTCAGAACATCACCACAAAGGGAATGACGACAATTGAAATCACCTAGCAGGAGCACAGGCTCCGGCAAGGAGTCCAGTAAGTGTTTAAGATCGGGAAGAGAAAGCAGGACACTTGGGTGGAGATAAATGGAACAGTGTACCATTTCCTCACAAAGATACAAGCAGCAGAACAATGGAGAAGCGAAGGAATAAGTAAGGGGACAAAGGGAATATCAGAGCGAATCAAGAGAGCAGAAGAGTTAGTGTCCCAGCAACAGCTGGGAGGGAAGGGCAGAAAGGAATAGCCACAAAAGCGACCAGGACGAGCACCAAGCATCGGCTCCTGGAGACGGACACAAAGGGGCGAAAACCGCAAAATCAGAAGCTGGAGTTCAAGGAAATTGGCATAATAACCTCGAATAGATACTGAAGAATAGATATCGACGAGAAGAGAAAGGATAGCAACAGAGAACGAAGAAACAAAAGTGAAAACAGAACACAGCACGTTAAAGAAGCGCAGGATCAGGGTCAGCGAAGTCAGGGTTAAGGGGTATGGTAAACTGAATAAAGGAGGGAAGGGAGCTGGAGGACCGACCAGGGGCGGACAAGTAGGATCTGCAGGAGGAAGAGGGGGGATAACTGAAGGTCAATGACAGCAGCAGGAGGGGCAGAAACCAGGGAGTGCACCTCAGCAAGGGCAGTAACCGAGAGGGAAGCAGGGGGGGGGGGCAAAGAGACCTCCATAGCAGGAACAGGGGGCATAACCACCGAAATGGGAGGGGACGGAGCGAGAGAGTCAGAGATAGCAGGCGAGGAAGAAAGCGAAGCCTTTTTATCCACCGGGGAGGAGGAAGGAGAGGGGCCAGGTTTACGCTTCTGATTCAAAGAGACAGGCGTCCTAGCAACAATGTACTGGGCAATAGATTCTAGCGTCTCAGCAAGAGAAGCAGAATGAGAGCACACACGATGGCCGTTGGGAGAGCAATGGATATCAGCCCATATTGACAGGCGGCGTGGAGAGCTATATCGGAGGAGAAGGATGGGAAGGAGGATCGGAGGGAGACAGGGAAGAAGACACAGGAGACATGACAGGCTGAGCAGAAAGAAGGGGAACCCCAGACAGAGGACCAGGAGGGGGACCCTTCGGGACAGAACTCAAAGGAACAGAGGAGGAGGGGGGTGGGAGTGTCTGGGTCTAAGGCCTGGAAACGGTTTTGAGTCTGAGGAAAGTGGGAAGGACGAGGAGAGGAAGAGTGCAACATGTGAGCATAAAAGACGTTAGCATAGGGTGGGAGACTGCGAACTAGGTGTCTCACCTCAGGAAAAGACAAACGCTCCCGGTGCTTCAAGTTGAGGACAGCTGCCTCAAGCTTGTAATGTATACACGCACGGGAGAAGGGCCTCACCGCAATTGAGGCAGTGAGCCTGGGGAGAAGTACACTCCGACATAGTGACCCTCGTCCCCACACACAGGACAGAGACAGTACTTGAGTAGCGGAGGACTCCATGTCCAAACCTCCACCACTTATTACAGAGCCAAGGAGAAGGAATGTACTCCTGGACAGAGCATCTGGCACCAGCAAGAATGACAGAGGACGGAAGGGTTCTACTATCAAAGGTAACTTTCACAACCCGAAGGGGTTGATGGCGACGACCACGAGGGGGACGAGTAAACGTGTCTACCTGGAGGACAGAATGGCCCTGGGCTTCAAGGATATGCCGAATATCATCGTGGTAGTTCTGTAGATTCCGAACACCGGTTGCAACATGGGGTGGGAGGAGAATAGTGCCAACACTGGCATTCAACCGAGCGTTCTTGGAGACCAGAACAGGGGTCACACCAAGGCAGGATAAGGCAGCCAAGCAGGAAGCTGCATCCTGAGAAGGAGCAGCAACGACACGTGTACCGAGACGGGTGGGGTTGAAGGTAACAGAGGCATCTGGTATCAACAAGATGCCTATGGAGGTAGAAATCGTCAGGTGTAGAATCAAGGGAGGTGATCAAAAATATTTGGCCCATGAAGTGGGACCAAACAAGGCTTGATACTCATCAGTACGGGAAGGAATCGAGCGAGTGCGGCCATGGCGCGGACGGCATTGATAACCCTCTGAGAGAGAGAGAGAGAGGGGTTAAAAGGCGCAGTAGTCACAATGAGAGACTGAGCTGTGCCAAGGGACGAGGTGGTCACCACTGGGGGCTTGTGGCTCGACCCAGCCACAGAGGAGGGAGGGGAGCCAAGGGGAGTAGTCAGGAGGGTCAAAGGAGGAGCAAGGTCAGGGGCCCAATGCAGCGGGGGCTACAAAGCCTGGTCTTCCAACACAGTCTGACTCGGGGGCTTGGTCGCCCACCCCACGAGCCTGACAGGGTACAAGAGGAACATTTACAGACATATTGATGAGAAGTAACACTTTCATTCAAGAATGGGCTCCCCACACCCACCATGGAGCCAAAATTAGAGGCAGGACACCCAACAAGAAGCTATCGCCGATCATGCCGGGGCCCCCTCGGGGTGCGTCGTGCGTATACGCCCCACAAACGCCACCTTAAGAACCGTCAGTCCGTCGAGATCGGGTTCAGTGACGAAAGGAGGATTTACAATAAAAGGTTCCCCTCGCTCTCGACGTCGGGTACTTCATTTCTACGGGTGCAAGAGTATGCCTCCTCAAACACCCGGGCGTCAAAACAAAAGAAGGCCGTAATGTACATAACGTTACTGGCCAGGAAGGAATAGATAACGGGTCTCTGTGGAACATTTCCCTTATGGTAGACGATGAATGTGCTGCTGATGGGAGCACTTTACATCCCTTAACACTACATCGAAGGGGATTAATTGTAGAGCGTCTTGAAGCTCCAGCGAGACTTGTGTTGAAGTTAGTAATGGCCTCAACTGGCCTCTCCTCCACTGACGCTCAGCTGTTCCTCAGATGAGTTTTATCAAGAAGTGGAAAGAGGGCCCAACATTTAAGTTGTTTTTAGTACTGATAATTAAGTTGGATCAAGGGAAGTGTTTTTATGATGTTTACAGTCCAGAGACTGATGTATTAATAGAAATTCCCATTATTAGATGGTGAATTAAATGGCGACATATGGCAATTTATCCCCGTTTTCTTCCGAAGAAATTTACAATGGAGCCTCATTTTCTATGAATTAATTTGTTAGTACAAACCGGCAGCAATATTATCTGCCTATTGTATTAACTGTTAGTAAAGGGTGTCTGTTTCTCCGACATCAATTGTCTTATAGAAGAGAGTGTGTAGGACACCGGACCATGTAGCACTGCCACCCTCAGCTAGTAGTATAGTCGGAGGCCTTGTTTGGTGACTGTGTTCCCAGAGGCCCGGCCAGTGTCTTAGAGGGCGCGCACTCTGACGTGCTCCCTTCACCCACTGTAGCGTGAAGGGCTCCCTTCACCCACTGTAGCGTGAAGGGCTCCCTTCACCCACTGTAGCGTGAAGGGCTCCCTTCACCCACTGTAGCGTGAAGGGCTCCCTTCACCCACTGTAGCGTGAAGGGCTCCCTTCACCCACTGTAGCGTGAAGGGCTCCCTTCACCCACTGTAGCGTGAAGGGCTCCCTTCACCCACACCAACTCCCACCATTGCGCCTATACTGAATGTCCAAAACACGATTTACTAACTAACACGCAAGATGCAATGTTAACATGCAAAGCAAGACTCGGTTTATGCAACATCCATCGCAACACAGCTACATATTCCTGGTGGTATACGCCCGGGACCAGACCCGTGTTTACCTATTCTGCCGCCATGTCGGCCAGCCGTCGCGGGCGTCACTACTTCCCGCTAATTAGAAATTTGGAATTTAAAATTTGAGCGGGAAAATCCCGCTCATTTGAAATTTGTCCAGGTTACCTTGCCACTGTTGTCCATGTGTGTTTTGTCTGTGTCAGAGATGACGTGGGTATGATGGTGATGGTGACGTGGGTATGGTGGGTATGGTGGTGTTGGTGACGTGGGTAGGGTGGTGATGGTGACGTGGGTAGGGTGGTGCTGATGACGTGGGTAGGGTGGTGATGGTGACGTGGGTAGGGTGATGCTGGTGACGTGGGTAGGGTGGTGATGGTGACGTGGGTAGGGTGGTGATGGTGACGTGGGTAGGGTGGTGATGGTGACGTGGGTAGGGTGGTGATGGTGACTAATGATATAACACCCCCGAGTATCGTGCCACTAATGATGATAACCATTTATGTACCACTTGTTCTATGTTATCTTGCTGCTGGTTCGTGTGGCTCCACTGTTTGCTTGTCCTTAACTTCATTATCATGACCAGACCACACACTAGAAGGTGAAGGGACGACAACGTTTCGGTCCGTCCTGGACCATTCTCAAGTCAATTGAGAATGTCGACGACTCAAGTCGACAATGGACTTGAGAATGGTCCAGGACGGACCGAAACGTCGTCGTCCCTTCACCTTGTAGTGTGTGGTCTGGTCAACATACTTTAGCCACGTTATTGTGACTCATCGCCTGCAACTCCATGATGTGTTGTGTGTGTTAGGAAGCTTGTGCCATGTGTTGCAGTGTGTGCCGGTGGCGGGTGTCGGGTTCCGGCGAGGCGGGTACCGGTGCCAGTGTCGGCCCAACTACTTCCGCCCCAATACCACACACCAGTACTTCAATGGCACCCTCGTCGAGCTGGCGTACTCTGAGACCCGCACCCTGCACGCCTTCAGGTAGGTCCTCCTCCCTTCTCCAGCCCCCTCGGGGGTACTCGTCTAGTTGTGCTTGCGGGGGTTGAGCTCTGGCTCTTTGGTCCCGCCTCTCAACTGACAATCAACTGGTGTACAGGTTCCTGAGCCTACTGGGCTCTATCATATCTACATTTGTAACTGTGTATGGAGTCAGCCTCCACCACATCACTGCCTAATGCATTCCGTCTGTTAACTACCCTGACACTGAAATAATATTTGTTACATCATATAAAATAAAACTAGATAACTAATTTAACCCTAAACTATTAGGTTTGAGACCACTTCAAACACGTAAAGACTAAATAAATATCACTGTGGCATAAAATTAATATCAAACCACGTGAATAATTAATCACTGATAATATAAATTAATAACAAGACACATGAATCCCAGACACATTGCAAGCAAACATCGCCAGGGAGACCATCAGCCCACTTAACATGGAGGGGAGGGAGAGAGAGAGACGTGCACCCCCACCAGTGACCCTCGGGCTACTGACAAAATATTCTCTCAGCGGGTGGACACCAGCGTCCACCCACAGTGTTGCCAGACCTCGCCTAACAACACACAAGCCTCACCTAACTCACAACACACAAGCCTCACCTAACTCACAACACACACACAAGCCTCATCTAACTCACAACACACAAGCCTCACCTAACTCACAACACACAAGCCTCACCTAACTCACAACACACACACAAGCCTCACCTAACTCACAACACACACACAAGCCTCGCCTAACTCACAACACACACAAGCCTCACCTAACTCACAACACACAAGCCTCACCTAACTCACAACACACACAAGCCTCACCTAACTCACAACACACACAAGCCTCACCTAACTCACAACACACACAAGCCTCACCTAACTCACAACACATACAAGCCTCACCTAACTCACAACACACACAAGCCTCACCTAACTCACAACACACACAAGCCTCACCTAACTCACAACACACACAAGCCTCACCTAACTCACAACACACACAAGCCTCACCTAACTCACAACACATACAAGCCTCACCTAACTCACAACACACACAAGCCTCACCTAACTCACAACACACAAGCCTCACCTAACTCACAACACACACAAGCCTCACCTAACTCACAACACACAAGCCTCGCCTAACTCACAACACACACAAGCCTCGCCTAACTCACAACACACACAAGCCTCACCTAACTCACAACACACAAGCCTCACCTAACTCACAACACACAAGCCTCACCTAACTCACAACACACAAGCCTCACCTAACTCACAACACACACAAGCCTCACCTAACTCACAACACACACAAGCCTCGCCTAACTCACAACACACAAGCCTCACCTAACTCACAACACACAAGCCTCACCTAACTCACAACACACAAGCCTCGCCTAACTCACAACACACACAAGCCTCACCTAACTCACAACACACACACAAGCCTCACCTAACTCACAACACACACAAGCCTCACCTAACTCACAACACACAAGCCTCACCTAACTCACAACACACAAGCCTCACCTAACTCACAACACACACAAGCCTCACCTAACTCACAACACACACACAAGCCTCACCTAACTCACAACACACACAAGCCTCACCTAACTCACAACACACAAGCCTCACCTAACTCACAACACACAAGCCTCGCCTAACTCACAACACACACAAGCCTCACCTAACTCACAACACACAAGCCTCACTTTAAACAACACTTCCAAACTCTTAATGAATACATGGCAAAATACATATACAGTATACAGGAACAATATGGGTACATAATAGTACTTAGATTCTGAAATAATAGACATGAAAGAATACTTATACTTGGCACCACTATGATCGGATATATTAAGATACAATTCTATTGATATATATAAGGATAATTTTGGACGAATATAATAAATTTGGTTAAATTAGCTTATTTTATGTTATTTATATATATATACAAGAGTTGTTATATTTTTGTACAGCCACTAGCACTCATAGCGTTTCCGGCAAGTCCTTGATGCTAATTTTCACACACACACACACACACACACACACACACACACACACACACACACACACACACACACACACACACACACACACACACACACACACACACACATCTCCAGGAAGCAGCCCGTAGCAGCTGTCTAACTCCCAGGTACCTATTTACTGTCAGGTGAACAGGCACATCAGGGTGACAGAAACTCTGCCCATTTGTTTCTGCCTCTACCGGGGATCGAATCCCGACCCTTAGGATTACTGATCCCGAGCGCTGTCCACTCAGCCGTCAGGCCCCGTGATATTAGGCCTGACCTATTAACCTAATAGGTTAATTCTCTAAATTTCTGCATGTATTAAAAGAGGAACGTCAGAGGCAGAGTTCCTAGACGACAGAGCCAGAGTGACTGCGGGGGGGGAGGAGTGTGTGAAACCCGGTGGTTCGACTTAAGGAAAGCCTCAGGAACCCTCGTGGATTCAGTAGAATCCCAGGTTGCAATCCTTTTATCATGTCGTGGCCCTAGTTGTCTGCGGTGTGTGCCTGGGAATACCCAATACATAGGTTCGAATCCTCATCACTGCTCCTACGGGTTTTCTCAATATACCCCTTTGGTTATACCCTTTGGTTATACAAGTTGGTTATATCCTTTGGTTATACCCCTTTGGTTATACCCCTTTGGTTATACAATTTGGTTATATCCTTTGGTTATACCCCTTTGGTTATACAATTTGGTTATATCCTTTGGTTATACAATTTGGTTATATCCTTTGGTTATACCCGTTTGGTTATACCCTTTCATCCACTTGTACACTTTAATCATGTCACCTCTTACTCTTCGCCTTTCTAGAGAATGTAAATTATACTTGTTAACCAGACCACACACTAGAAAGTGAAGGGACGACGACGTTTCGGTCCGTCCTGGACCTTTCTTAAGTCGGTTCAGGACGGGCCGAAACGTCGTCGTCCCTTCACTTTCTAGTGTGTGCTTTGGTCAACATTTTTCAGCCACGTTATTGTGACTCTTCGCCTGCGTAAATTATAATTTCCCATTCACTCCTCACGTGGAAGCTTTCTGACTCCTGGGATTAACTTTGTCATCCTAGGCTGGAGGCGTTCCAATGAGTGTAAGTACATTGTGTAGTGTGGACGACAGGAGTGAGGTGCATGATGTACTGGCGCCTAGCAAGAGTAACAGACACCTGAAGACTAGCAACAAGTGTTGTTGATATTGCTATCACTTCTACACATAAAGTCCAGTGACCTACTTCTCTTTTTATCCAATATTTCTGCATGGATTTTTGGCTTTAAATTCCTCCTGTTCATGACCAACTGGTATATACGCGGACTACGACATTCCTGTACTGTTCTGGGATGTGTAGTAATTATCATTCTAGTAATTATCATCCTGGGATGATAGTTGTGTAGTAACTATCATCCTGGGGTGATAGTTGTGTAGTAACTATCATCCTGGGATGATAGTTATGTAGTAACTATCATCCTGGGATGATAGTTATGTAGTAATTATCATCCTGGGATGATAGTTATGTAGTAACTATCTTCCTGGGATGATAGTTATGTAGTAACTATCTTCCTGGGATGATAGTTATGTAGTAATTATCATCCTGGGATAATAGTTATGTAGTAACTATCATCCTGGGATGATAGTTATGTAGTAACTATCATCCTGGGATGATAGTCATGTAGTAACTATCATTCTGGGATGATAGTTATGTAGTAACTATCATCCTGGGATGTTAGTTATATAGTAATTATCATCCTGGGATGATAGTCATGTAGTAACTATCATCCTGGGATGATAGTCATGTAGTAACTATCATCCTGGGATGATAGTCATGTAGTAACTATCATCCTGGGATGATAGTTATGTAGTAACTATCATCCTGGGATGATAGTTATGTAGTAACTATCATCCTGGGATGATAGTTATATAGTAATTATCATCCTGGGATGATAGTTATATAGTAATTATCATCCTGGGATGATAGTCATGTAATAATTAAATGTAATAGTTATATAGTAAATAGCTATCATTCTGGGATGATAGTTATATATTAACTATCATCCTGGGATGATAGTCATGTAGTAACTATCATTCTGGGATGATAGTCATGTAGTAACTATCATCCTGGGATGTTAGTTATATAGTAATTATCATCCTGGGATGATAGTTATATAGTAACTATCATCCTGGGATGATAGTTATATAGTAACTATCATCCTAGGATGGTAGTCATGTAGTAACTGTCATCCTGGGATGATAGTCATGTAGTAACTGTCATCCTGGGATGATAGTTATGTAGTAACTATCATCCTGGGATGATAGTCATGTAGTAACTATCATCCTGGGATGATAGTCATATATTAACTATCATCCTGGGATGATAGTTATATATTAACTATCATCCTGGGATGATAGTCATGTAGTAACTATCATCCTGGGATGATAGTCATGTAGTAACTATCATCCTGGGATGATAGTTATGTAGTAACTATCATCCTGGGATGATAGTTATATAGTAACTATCATCCTGGGATGATAGTCATGTAGTAACTATCATCCTGGGATGATAGTCATGTAGTAACTATCATCCTGGGATGATAGTTATGTAATAATTATCATCCTGGGATGATAGTTATGTAATAATTATCATCCTGGGATAATAGTTATGTATCATCCTGGGATGATAGTTATGTATCATCCCCAGCCTCAGAACTCTTCACCATTAAACTGAATCTGCCTGTAGAATTTTTTTTTTTTTGTAGAAAAATTAGAAATGTAGAAATTTGTCTGTAACATTTGCAAAAGTTCTCAGTCCTGAATCTAAATCGTTTATAAGTATAAGTTAAAGAACAGAGGTCCCAGGACAGAGCCTTGAGGCACTCCACTTACAAAGGTGCCTCAGACTTTATATACTGACTCTTTGTTTAATTAACGTGTAAGTTAAGATGTAGCATAAGTGAGATTGTGTTTTGTTACGGTACAGATGCTGGCCGTGTCCGGGAGGGTGCGGGGAGTGTTCGGCCTCGGTGACGTGTGGCGTCACCTACGACAAGTTGACCCGTCTGGTGCCTGTCTGTGTGGAGGCTGCCTGCGTCCTCGTCTGTCTCATCTTGGCTCTCGTCATCTTCAAGATCCGCAAGTGTCGGGTAAGTCCTTCCTCATGCTCCTCGCCTCACCCGCTCACACTCTTAACTTTACCTGTGGAGAATAACTGTGTGTTAACTAACACTCTACTCATCGTGAAATGTATTTGTTCTGTCTGGAAGATTGTATTACTATGTATGATTGTCATTGTGTTCGACATGTTTGTACCACACTCGCACAGGGATCCCAGCAATGATGACTAGATTCCGTCGCACAAAAGTTCCCTATCCTAACCAACCAGAGAACCCAAAACAGAAAACGGGACAGAACGTAAATTTCGCGAGCCGCTCCCCATTTTCTAGTACCACAATTTTTAACCATAGGTAAAATATTCGTCAAAATACAGCGTCAAACCTACGGGACGGTTGCGCTCCCGCCCGACACAGAAAACGGTAGTGAAGGACAGTGAGGGATAACTCAAACATGACCTCCAGTAACCTCTGGAGGAGGAGGTTACTGAACCCCAACTTCACGCCCCAAGAACCAGCTAAAACATGGACTAAACTCTTACTTTTCCCTGTGACGTGAGGTGATTAGTGTGGCGGGTGTCATAGACATCCCCGGCGTTGAAGAGGAATGACAAACTGCATTATCCACACCTGACTTTGGTTCTCCTTTATGTAATATTCCACAACACAATATGTAGAAGGTTATTGTAATTGTTGGTGAAGGGGTTACTCCGTGGTGGTGTTGTTGTGTTGCTCCCTGATGTTGGTGTTGTTCTCTCTGTCACTTCCCTCATAACTATCGTTCCCTGCTCTCATTGTTTCCGTCTCTCCCTGGAGGAGTCCGTGGCACCCTTGCCAGAGTACCCAGCACTCAGGGCTGGGACGGAGTGTCCAGCAGAGGGAGAGCATGGTGATGCTCGTGTAGAGTGGAGAGTGCAGGGTGGGTTGTGCACTAGTGTTGTGAAGGAGGGGCGGGACCCCACTACCTGCAGGCCACAGTGTAGGCGGGTCACCTGTAAAAACACTGGTGTGGCATCAGTTGGGGCCGCCACACACTCCTGGTGAATTCAGTAGAGTTGTGGGTTAAATGTTTTTTGTCCCGTCGTAGACGATTGGTTTAAAACAGGTGATTGGGAGTCATGTGATTTACTGTATTGTTGTTATTATTATTGGTAATGTTTTCTCGCAGGCGTGCCCAACCTTTTGGCCTGGACGGTAGAGCAACGGTCTCGCTTCCTGCAGGTCGGCGTTCAATCCCCGACCGTCCACAAGTGATTGGCCAACATTCCTTTCCCCCCGTCCCATCCCAAATCCTTATCCTGACCCCTTCCCAGTGCTATATATTGGTAATGGCTTGGCGCCTTTCCCTGATAGTTGCCTCCCTCCAGTCCCACAGACATAACACCACAGGATAACAACTCAGGATAACTCAGGATAACTCAGGATAACAACTCTGACTTAAATATTTGTGAATATGATGTCACGACTTAGAGGCAGTGTTGGGCACTCTATCAACGTGCGAGTGTGTGGGGTGGAGGGTGGGAGCAGACTTAGCACCACTCACCGTCTGCTGTGGCAGACACCCTGGGCCTCTTATACTGCTTGACCTACTGCTGCCTCGGGCTCACTGTGGGGGGAGGGGGGGGGTGAGAGTGTGAGAGTGTGTGTGTGAGAGTGAGAGAGTAACGGTGACACTGTTACAGGTGATCGCCGCCTCACTGTGGACCATGCTGGAGATGGTGTTGCTGGGAGCCGTCGTCATCTACTGTACTGTGAGTATTGTGTCCTCTGGTCTCCTGCCTCACACCTCTCGCCTCACCCCCCTGACCTGAGCCTCAGCCCCCTCCCTCACCCCCCCTGACCTGAGCCTCAGCCCCTCCCTCACCCCCTGACCTGAGCCTCAGCCCCTCCCTCACCCCCTGACCTGAGCCTCAGCCCCTCCCTCACCCCCTGACCTGAGCCTCAGCCCCCTCCCTCACCCCCCCTGACCTGAGCCTCAGCCCCTCCCTCACCCCCTGACCTGAGCCTCAGCCCCCTCCCTCACCCCCCCTGACCTGAGCCTCAGCCCTCCCTCACCCCCTGACCTGAGCCTCAGCCCCTCCCTCACCCCCCTGACCTGAGCCTCAGCCCCTCCCTCACCCCCTCACCTGAGCCTCAGCCCCCTCCCTCACCCCCCCTGACCTGAGCCTCAGCCCTCCCTCACCCCCCCTGACCTGAGCCTCAGCCCCCTCCCTCACCCCCCTGACCTGAGCCTCAGCCCCTCCCTCACCCCCTCACCTGAGCCTCAGCCCCCTCCCTCACCCCCCCTGACCTGAGCCTCAGCCCTCCCTCACCCCCTGACCTGAGCCTCAGCCCCTCCCTCACCCCCCTGACCTGAGCCTCAGCCCCTCCCTCACCCCCCCTGACCTGAGCCTCAGCCCCCTCCCTCACCCCCCCTGACCTGAGCCTCAGCCCTCCCTCACCCCCTGACCTGAGCCTCAGCCCCCCCCCTCACCCCCCTGACCTGAGCCTCAGCCCCCTCCCTCACCCCCCTGACCTGAGCCTCAGCCCCCTCCCTCACCCCCCTGACCTGAGCCTCAGCCACCACCCTCACCCCCCTGACCTGAGCCTCAGCCCCCTCCCTCACCCCCCTGACCTGAGCCTCAGCCCCTCCCTCACCCCCCCTGACCTGAGCCTCAGCCCCCTCCCTCACCCCCCTGACCATAGTCTCAGCCCCTCCCTCACCCCCCCTGACCATAGCCTCAGCCCCTCCCCCACCCCCCTGACCTGAGCCTCAGCCCCCTCCCCCACCCCCCTGACCTGAGCCTCAGCCCCCTCCCTCACCCCCCTGACCTGAGCCTCAGCCCCCTCCCTCACCCCCCTGACCTGAGCCTCAGCCCCCTCCCTCACCCCCCTGACCATAGTCTCAGCCCCTCCCTCACCCCCCCTGACCATAGCCTCAGCCCCTCCCCCACCCCCCTGACCTGAGCCTCAGCCCCCTCCCCCACCCCCCTGACCTGAGCCTCAGCCCCCTCCCTCACCCCCCTGACCTGAGCCTCAGCCCCTCCCTCACCCCCCCTGACCTGAGCCTCAGCCCCCTCCCTCACCCCCCTGACCATAGTCTCAGCCCCTCCCTCACCCCCCCTGACCATAGCCTCAGCCCCTCCCCCACCCCCCTGACCTGAGCCTCAGCCCCCTCCCCCACCCCCCTGACCTGAGCCTCAGCCCCCTCCCTCACCCCCCTGACCTGAGCCTCAGCCCCCTCCCTCACCCCCCTGACCTGAGCCTCAGCCCCCTCCCTCACCCCCCTGACCTGAGCCTCAGCTCCCTCCCTCACCCCCCTGACCATAGCCTCAGCCCCTCCCCCACCCCCCTGACCTGAGCCTCAGCCCCTCCCTCACCCCCCCCCCTGACCTGAGCCTCAGCCCTCCCTCACCCCCCTGACCTGAGCCTCAGCCCCTCCCTCACCCCCCTGACCTGAGCCTCAGCCCCTCCCTCACCCCCCCCCTGACCTGAGCCTCAGCCCCCTCCCTCACCCCCCTGACCTGAGCCTCAGCCCCTCCCTCACCCCCCCTGACCTGAGCCTCAGCCACCACCCTCACCCCCCTGACCTGAGCCTCAGCCCCCTCCCTCACTCCCCCTGACCATAGCCTTAGCCCCTCCCTCACCCCCCTGACCATAGCCTCAGCCCCTCCCTCACCCCCCCTGACCTGAGCCTCAGCCACCACCCTCACCCCCCTGACCTGAGCCTCAGCCCCCTCCCTCACCCCCCCTGACCATAGCCTTAGCCCCTCCCTCACCCCCCTGACCATAGCCTCAGCCCCTCCCTCACCCCCCCCTGACCATAGCCTCAGCCCCTCCCTCACCCCCCTGACCATAGCCTTAGCCCCTCCCTCACCCCCCCTGACCATAGCCTTAGCCCCTCCCTCACCCCCCCTGACCATAGCCTTAGCCCCTCCCTCACCCCCCCTGACCATAGCCTTAGCCCCTCCCTCACCCCCCCTGACCATAGCCTTAGCCCCTCCCTCACCCCCCCTGGCCATAGCCTTAGCCCCTCCCTCACCCCCCCTGACCATAGCCTTAGCCCCTCCCTCACCCCCCCTGACCATAGCCTTAGCCCCTCCCTCACCCCCCCTGACCATAGCCTTAGCCCCTCCCTCACCCCCCCTGACCATAGCCTTAGCCCCTCCCTCACCCCCCCCTGACCATAGCCTCAGCCCCTCCCTCACCCCCCCTGACCATAGCCTTAGCCCCTCCCTCACCCCCCCCTGACCATAGCCTCAGCCCCTCCCTCACCCCCCCCTGACCATAGCCTTAGCCCCTCCCTCACCCCCCCCCTGACCATAGCCTCAGCCCCTCCCTCACCCCCCCCTGACCATAGCCTTAGCCCCTCCCTCACCCCCCCCCCTGACCATAGCCTCAGCCCCTCCCTCACCCCCCCTGACCTGAGCCTCAGCCCCTCCCTCACCCCCCCTGACCATAGCCTCAGCCCCTCCCTCACCCCCTTGACCTAGCCTGGCCATGTTACAGGTGTTCCTGAGAGTGGTGGAGCCGACGGCGCTGCTGTGCATGCTGGAGCCCTGGTGTAGGGAGGTGGGCTTCGCTCTCTTCTACGGCGCCCTCGTCCTCAAGCTCTACAGGTCAGTGAGGGGCGGTGTTGAGCGGGGCTGGTGAGGGGCGGGGCTGGTGAGGGGCGGTGGTGAGCGGGGCTGGTGAGGGGCGGTGGTGAGCGGGGCTGGTGAGGGGCGGTGGTGAGCGGGGCTGGTGAGGGGCGGTGGTGAGCGGGGCTGGTGAGGGGCGGTGGTGGACCGCCTCCCTGGTCGGCCAAGTGTAGGAAACTATGAAGATGAAATTAGGTACTTTTGGGTTTTAATTTTGAGTAAGGAAACAGTTTGACAACTTTTCAGTTCACTAGGGAGAGAATTCCATAAACTGGGTCCCTTTATTTGCATAGAGTGTTTACACAGATTAAGTTTAACTCTGGGGATATCAAAGAGATATTTATTTCTGGTGTGGTGATAATGGGTCCTATTACATCTGTCCAGGAAGAGTTTCAGACAAGGATTTGCATTTAAGAACAGGGTTTTGTAAATGTAGTTGACACAAGAGAATTTGTGGAGTGAGATTATGTTTAGCATGTTTAGGGAGTTAAACAAGGGAGCTGAGTGTTGCCTGAAAGCAGAATTTGTTATTATTCTGATAGCAGATTTTTGCTGGGTGATGATGGACTTGAGGTAGTTTGCAGTGGTTGAACCCCATGCACAGATACCATAATTAAGATAGGGATAGATTAGTGCATAATATAGTGAGATGAGAGCAGAGGTAGGAAGACAATATCTGATTTTGGAGAGTATACCAACTGTCTTAGAGACTTTCTTAGTTATGTGTTGAATGTGGGTGCTGAAGTTGAGTCTCTTGTCTAGGAATAGGCCAAGAAACTTTCCATCATTTTTATTACTGATGTTAATGTTGTCTATCTGTAGCTGAATTGCATTCGATGATTTGCTTCCAAATAAGATGTAATAGGTCTTTTCTATGTTTAGTGTTAGTTTGTTGGTTGACATCCATAAGTGGGCTTTTTTAGTTTATTATTAACAACATTATTTAGTGTATGTGGGTTGGGGTTAGAGTAGATGAGAGTAGTATCATCAGCAAACAAAATAGGTTTCAGAATGTTAGAGACATTAGGCAGATCATTGATGTATATAAGAAATAAGAAATTATTAATCCATAATAATATATTTTATGAAAGGGAAGAGGTGGTAGACAGGTAGGGAAGGGACAAGGCAGGGGAGATGGGGAAGGGAAAGAGGGAAGGGAGGGGTTTATAAAGAAGGGGCAGTTGACCGGCGTGAGAAGAGGAACCCGGGACTGAGGACCAATGTTAGGAAAAACAGGAAAAAATGCAAAATGAAGCACTCAGAATTATACTTGGCTCTCCTATAACTACGAAAGTTCTCAACATGCGGAAAGAATTAAATATACTTAGCTTTCGAGACAGAATATTTGAAATTAATCTTATGATGGGACTAAAGCTGCTGCGTGATAACAAAAACAACATTGTGTCAGTTGCACTGTTAGAACACATACGAAATGGAACCAGCGAGTCTAAATGGATTCAAAGAACAGCCACTCATATTAAAATGATGGCACTGCACGATGTATATACAGATGAAAGAGTACAGCACTTCCTTCAACCCTGGCAGATAGTACCTTTTGACATCCTGACCCCTGAATACCCCACCAAGAAACTAATCACAAGCAACCCTCATGCTCAGCTTGCTGCTAAATTAAGCACCATAGAACACATTCACAATATACAAGCTGAAAACAACATAGCACAGACCATATACACTGACGGATCACTCAATACAGCTACAGGGAGGGCAGGAAGTGCTGTTATTGCTCATCAGCCCGATGGCAGCACAATTCATACGAATATCCGAATTAGTAACTGGGCATCCACAATGCAAGCCGAGTTGGTTATCTTGAGGTTATCTTGAGATGATTTCGGGGATTTTAGTGTCCCCGCAGCCCAGTCTTCGACCAGGCCTCCACCCCCAGGAAGCAGCCCGTGACAGTTGACTAACACCCAGGTACCTATTTTACTGCTAGGTAACAGGGGCATAGGGTGAAAGAAACTCTGCCTATTGTTTCTCGCCGGCGCCTGGGATCAAACCCAGGACCACAGGATCACAAGTCCAGCTAGCGATACTGGTAGCACTCGAAATTATTGACAACACTGAAGTAGACAGCTTAATTATTTCCGACTCCCTTTCCTCACTACCAGCAATAAACAGTTTGCAATCAAGTAATAACGTGCTTGTCTTGGAAGCTAGACGTAGATATATAAGAATACTTAGCAAGAGGGTAAATATAAAAATGTTGTGGATTCCTTCTCACATTGGCATGCAGGAACATGACAAAGTTGACGCCCTTGCTAAGGCTGCAGTAAATAAAGACAGTATTGAACGGAATCTTGAGTTATCAAATAGGTCCCTTAAAAGTGTCATTAGACGAGAACTCCTGGATGGATTTGAAGAAAGTAGAACTGTGCAAACTGGAACTAGCAGGTCCATTGTTCATCACAATGAAATGTGTGAAGTAAAACATGTGTATGGGGCAAGTAACAAAGTCAGTAGACTAACAGATGTTGTCACAGCTCGTATAAGACTTGGCTACAAGTATCTCTGGCAGTTCGGCTTGTATAGGGATCTAGATGAAGTAAAGTGTAAAGTGGGTGGACAAAGACAGGGACACACACTCGAACACTATATCTTGGATTGTAGTAAAATTGAGCCATTTAGAGATAAATCTAAGCTCACTCTGTATGATATGGCAACCTATCTTATTACCATGCATAAATTACCTGAAATCCTTGCACTGTATCCACATTTTGCTTCCAGTAGATGATCGACATATGAGATTCAGAAACAAGTAGTGTATTGTGAGGACTAATAATAAACAGAAGCTTCCCTATGACTCTGTAATATCCCCATTGGTCAAACTATTATGTATTAGCGATAAGACCTGCCATTAATGTATAATGACTTACTGTAAATATGTAGCTCTTGTAATAGCACTTTCTCTGTAACTAGCTGACATTGTAACTATAAGGTGTGAAGGATAGATGAAATTGTTGATGTAATAATCTAAGATGAGGTCTGATAAAGACCTTTTGTGCCCCTCTGTAATGCTTTTTGCGCTACCGCTCACAGGATGGGTATGGGGTGCACAATAAACTAGCCGCCTCCGTGGCAACAATCAAGTCTAGCCGCGACGTCTACTACTATATAACATCTACTTATTATATTTAATATGAGAACAATGTTACTGAATCAATACACAATAAGCCATCCGCAGCTTATAGCTGATTCCCGAAGAGTAGTTTCTGGTGATACCTGGTTGATACCTGGTTGATGGGGTTCTGGGAGTTGTTCTACTGCCCAAGCCCGGCCCGAGGCCAGACTTGACTTGTGAGAGTTTGGTCCACCAGGCTGTTGCTTGGAGCGGCCCGCAGGCCCACATATACCTGGTTGATGGGGTTCTGGGAGTTGTTCTACTGCCCAAGCCCGGCCCGAGGCCAGGCTTGACTTGTGAGAGTTTGGTCCACCAGGCTGTTGCTTGGAGCGGCCCGCAGGCCCACATATACCTGGTTGATGGGGTTCTGGGAGTTGTTCTACTGCCCAAGCCCGGCCCGAGGCCAGACTTGACTTGTGAGAGTTTGGTCCACCAGGCTGTTGCTTGGAGCGGCCCGCAGGCCCACATATACCTGGTTGATGGGGTTCTGGGAGTTGTTCTACTGCCCAAGCCCGGCCCGAGGCCAGACTTGACTTGTGAGAGTTTGGTCCACCAGGCTGTTGCTTGGAGCGGCCCGCAGGCCCACATATACCTGGTTGATGGGGTTCTGGGAGTTGTTCTACTCCCCAAGCCCGGCCCGAGGCCAGGCTTGACTTGTGAGAGTTTGGTCCACCAGGCTGTTGCTTGGAGCGGCCCGCAGGCCCACATATACCTGGTTGATGGGGTTCTGGGAGTTGTTCTACTCCCCAAGCCCGGCCCGAGGCCAGGCTTGACTTGTGAGAGTTTGGTCCACCAGGCTGTTGCTTGGAGCGGCCCGCAGGCCCACATATACCTGGTTGATGGGGTTCTGGGAGTTGTTCTACTGCCCAAGCCCGGCCCGAGGCCAGGCTTGACTTGTGAGAGTTTGGTCCACCAGGCTGTTGCTTGGAGCGGCCCGCAGGCCCACATATACCTGGTTGATGGGGTTCTGGGAGTTGTTCTACTCCCCAAGCCCGGCTCGAGGCCAGACTTGACTTGTGAGAGTTTGGTCCACCAGGCTGTTGCTTGGAGCGGCCCGCAGGCCCACATATACCTGGTTGATGGGGTTCTGGGAGTTCTTCTACTCCCCAAGCCCGGCTCGAGGCCAGACTTGACTTGTGAGAGTTTGGTCCACCAGGCTGTTGCTTGGAGCGGCCCGCAGGCCCACATATACCTGGTTGATGGGGTTCTGGGAGTTGTTCTACTGCCCAAGCCCGGCTCGAGGCCAGACTTGACTTGTGAGAGTTTGGTCCACCAGGCTGTTGCTTGGAGCGGCCCGCAGGCCCACATATACCCGGTTGATGGGGTTCTGGGAGTTGTTCTACTCCCCAAGCCCGGCCCGAGGCCAGGCTTGACTTGTGAGAGTTTGGTCCACCAGGCTGTTGCTTGGAGCGGCCCGCAGGCCCACATATACCCGGTTGATGGGGTTCTGGGAGTTGTTCTACTCCCCAAGCCCGGCCCGAGGCCAGACTTGACTTGTGAGAGTTTGGTCCACCAGGCTGTTGCTTGGAGCGGCCCGCAGGCCCACATATATCTGGTTGATGGGGTTCTGGGAGTTGTTCTACTCCCCAAGCCCGGCTCGAGGCCAGGCTTGACTTGTGAGAGTTTGGTCCACCAGGCTGTTGCTTGGAGCGGCCCGCAGGCCCACATATACCTGGTTGATGGGGTTCTGGGAGTTCTTCTACTCCCCAAGCCCGGCCCGAGGCCAGGCTTGACTTGTGAGAGTTTGGTCCACCAGGCTGTTGCTTGGAGCGGCCCACAGGCCCATATATACCTGGTTGATGGGGTTCTGGGAGTTGTTCTACTCCCCAAGCCCGGCCCGAGGCCAGACTTGACTTGTGAGAGTTTGGTCCACCAGGCTGTTGCTTGGAGCGGCCCGCAGGCCCACATATACCTGGTTGATGGGGTTCTGGGAGTTGTTCTACTCCCCAAGCCCGGCTCGAGGCCAGGCTTGACTTGTGAGAGTTTGGTCCACCAGGCTGTTGCTTGGAGCGGCCCGCAGGCCCACATATACCTGGTTGATGGGGTTCTGGGAGTTCTTCTACTGCCCAAGCCCGGCTCGAGGCCAGGCTTGACTTGTGAGAGTTTGGTCCACCAGGCTGTTGCTTGGAGCGGCCCGCAGGCCCACATATACCTGGTTGATGGGGTTCTGGGAGTTCTTCTACTCCCCAAGCCCGGCCCGAGGCCAGGCTTGACTTGTGAGAGTTTGGTCCACCAGGCTGTTGCTTGGAGCGGTCCGCAGGCCCACATATACCTGGTTGATGGGGTTCTGGGAGTTGTTCTACTCCCCAAGCCCGGCCCGAGGCCAGACTTGACTTGTGAGAGTTTGGTCCACCAGGCTGTTGCTTGGAGCGGCCCGCAGGCCCACATATACCTGGTTGATGGGGTTCTGGGAGTTGTTCTACTCCCCAAGCCCGGCCCGAGGCCAGGCTTGACTTGTGAGAGTTTGGTCCACCAGGCTGTTGCTTGGAGCGGCCCGCAGGCCCACATATACCTGGTTGATGGGGTTCTGGGAGTTCTTCTACTGCCCAAGCCCGGCCCGAGGCCAGGCTTGACTTGTGAGAGTTTGGTCCACCAGGCTGTTGCTTGGAGCGGCCCGCAGGCCCACATATACCTGGTTGATGGGGTTCTGGGAGTTCTTCTACTGCCCAAGCCCGGCTCGAGGCCAGGCTTGACTTGTGAGAGTTTGGTCCACCAGGCTGTTGCTTGGAGCGGCCCGCAGGCCCACATATACCTGGTTGATGGGGTTCTGGGAGTTGTTCTACTCCCCAAGCCCGGCCCGAGGCCAGACTTGACTTGTGAGAGTTTGGTCCACCAGGCTGTTGCTTGGAGCGGCCCGCAGGCCCACATATACCTGGTTGATGGGGTTCTGGGAGTTGTTCTACTCCCCAAGCCCGGCCCGAGGCCAGGCTTGACTTGTGAGAGTTTGGTCCACCAGGCTGTTGCTTGGAGCGGCCCGCAGGCCCACATATACCTGGTTGATGGGGTTCTGGGAGTTCTTCTACTCCCCAAGCCCGGCCCGAGGCCAGGCTTGACTTGTGAGAGTTTGGTCCACCAGGCTGTTGCTTGGAGCGGTCCGCAGGCCCACATATACCTGGTTGATGGGGTTCTGGGAGTTGTTCTACTCCCCAAGCCCGGCCCGAGGCCAGACTTGACTTGTGAGAGTTTGGTCCACCAGGCTGTTGCTTGGAGCGGCCCGCAGGCCCACATATACCTGGTTGATGGGGTTCTGGGAGTTCTTCTACTGCCCAAGCCCGGCTCGAGGCCAGGCTTGACTTGTGAGAGTTTGGTCCACCAGGCCACAGGTAGTGGAGCCTCCGTGAGTGGACCAGTTTGGTGACGCCGCTTGTACCAACTTCAGGAAAACTCCTCAGATAAATACTTTATGAATTTATTCAATGCAGCGAGGTACTGATTCAGTCCTTTAGACTTTGACAAATAACGTCATAGAACAGCAATAATTTACATTATAGCTAATCAGAAGACGATAAGAATCTTAATAGCCTAAGATACTAAGTTAAGGATTCTTTATATTCAAAGATATCAAACTTTATTAATACATGAATTAATATAATACGAAATTCAACACGTACATTGTATGAGGTTTTGCTGCTGTTTATGACGGATGCTCTTGTGTGGGACAAATGTGTAGAGTCATGCACATATATCAAATTGGTACCACATTAATAACAACAGTCACAATCTGGCCTGTTAGTTCGTGGAGGAGAGCGGAGGCCAGGTCCAGCCTCTGGTAGACTTGGCGCTGCTTCCCGCCGGCCGCCATGTTTACCCCAGCACCACCCAGGGAGCTGGCGTCATGACTGGCCCTGATTAGTCAGTCTTATTTATCACTCATTCACTTTGTTATGGTCTATGTGCTCACACTTTGTGTTGAATTGTTCACTCAGCACCTCTTCGACACGTGTTGAGCCATAAACGGCCCTATAACGGCTCTTGCGGTGCAAGCACTCTAGAGTGGCGTCTCTCCCTCCTCCTCCTCGGAGTGGGAGGAGGTGAAGGTTAATTACTGGCTAGTTTGTATGCTTATACATTGTAGGAGGAACCCGGGCACCGCCGGGTATTCTTCCTCTCTATATATGGATAGTTTTAGACATTGATGGATGGATGAATAGACTAGAGACAAGCAGACCCGGGCAATGCCGGCTACCCACCCTTAATATATGTCTGCCCGTTTGTGTGTGTTTCTGTGTTTCTGTTCAACGTTGGAGGCAGGATGCTTGGGGTCAGCCTTACCCAAAACTGTAGGGGAAATTGGCTGGTGTGGGTAAGCCCAACTTAAATGATCTAATAAATATTAGTAACTATTGAAAGACGTGTGGGGAGGACGAGGGGTGGGCAGGGGGAGGACGAGGGGTGGGCAGGGGGAGGACGAGGGGTGGGCAGGGGGAGGACGAGGGGTGGACAGGGGGAGGACGAGGGGAGGGGGAGGCTGGGCAGGAGAAGAGTGGGGAGGGAAAGGGGTGCTAGGGGGGGGGAAGAGTGTAGGGGGGGGTATACCTCCTATATAGTGTGTGTGTATATATTAGAAGCTAGCATGTATTAAACCATAAGCGCTTGGTGGTTGTTTCAGTGTTATACAGTGAGCAGACCCGGCCAGCAGTCACCACAGCAGCCCCTCACAGCAACAACACCTTGATGATGTTTGTTGGTTACTGTTAAGTTTACGAGAAGTGTGTACTGTGGCAGAAGCCTCCAGCAACCTGTACAGGTGTTGTATGTACTTTTGTGACTCCCTGTTAACTGATCCTGTGACTGGTGTACTGGCAGGAACCTGGTCGACTACCGCACAAGGAAGGCACATCGCTACGTCATCCGTGACCGCGACCTGCTCAAGTACCTGGCGGGTCTGGTCGTGTTCATCACGGGCTACCTTGCTGCCTGGTCGGCTCTCACGGCCCACCTGGCCACCGAGGGCCATTCCCCCCTTGCTGTGGGCCGCACTTCTGACGGCTTAGCCTTCAGTGTCTGCAAGAGTGTTTGGTGGGAATACGTCACAGAATCTGGTAGGTGCTTATGCCGACAAACGGAAAGGAGGAAATGTATATGTTTATCTCTCAATGTTCGGTAATACGTTAATTGTTTGTGATGTGTGTCTATATATGTATTAACACGATGTACTGAACGGGGTGAGAATAGCTTGAGCTACCTCATCCCTTTGTGTGTATTTTACCTCAATAAACTTATTTCAATTTCAATAGGATTAAAGACCTGCCCGAAAAGCTATGCGTGCTAGTGGTTGTACAAGAATGTAAGAACTCTTGTATACATAAATAAAAAATAAAAAATTATTATGCAGTATCAGAGCCCAGGTAAGTCCTTGGTGAGTTTAGCAGTCTTGCAGCCACTGGTTCAGCTAGTAGTGGTGATGAATTCTGGCGTTGTTGGGAGTTATGTCTCCATGTGAGGAGCAGTGTTAACTGTAACCTAGAGTGGATGGTCCTGCTGGTAGAATACCACGGGTTGTGACACACAAGGCCTTCACATTAACCACATCACAAATACAACTGTTAAATATATATATATATATATATATATATATATATATATATATATATATATATATATATATATATATATATAATATTGATATTGTTGCTTCTTATGGTTTATTATACACCCCATTCTCATACTGCGACTCAGTGGTACTACAGGTGGAGTACAGAGGTCACACTAACCCAGACCCCACCAGGTGTTGTACAGGTGGAGTACACAGGTCACACTAACCCAGACCCCAGCAGGTGTTGTGCAGGTGTAGTACAGAGGTCACACTAACCCAGACCCCAGCAGGTGTTGTACTGGTGTAGTACAGAGGTCACACTAACCCAGACCCCAGCAGGTGTTGTACAGGAGGAGTACAGAGGTCACACTAACCCAGACCCCAGCAGGTGTTGTACTGGAGGAGTACACAGGTCACACTAACCCAGACCCCAGCAGGTGTTGTACAGGAGAAGTACACAGGTCACACTAACCCAGACCCCAGCAGGTGTTGTACAGGAGAAGTACACAGGTCACACTAACCCAGACCCCAGCAGGTGTTGTACTGGTGTAGTACACAGGCCACACTAACCCAGACCCCAGCAGGTGTTGTACAGGAGAAGTACACAGGTCACACTAACCCAGACCCCAGCAGGTGTTGTACAGGTGTAGTACACAGGTCACACTAACCCAGACCCCAGCAGGTGTTGTACAGGAGAAGTACACAGGTCACACTAACCCAGACCCCAGCAGGTGTTGTACAGGTGTAGTACACAGGTCACACTAACCCAGACCCCAGCAGGTGTTGTACAGGAGGAGTACACAGGTCACACTAACCCAGACCCCAGCAGGTGTTGTACAGGTGTAGTACACAGGTCACACTAACCCAGACCCCAGCAGGTGTTGTACAGGTGTAGTACACAGGTCACACTAACCCAGACCCCAGCAGGTGTTGTACAGGAGGAGTACACAGGTCACACTAACCCAGACCCCAGCAGGTGTTGTACTGGTGTAGTACACAGGTCACACTAACCCAGACCCCAGCAGGTGTTGTACAGGTGTAGTACACAGGTCACACTAACCCAGACCCCAGCAGGTGTTGTACAGGTGTAGTACAAAGGTCACAAAAGGTCATAATCAGACCCCAGCAGGTGTTGTACAGGTGTAGTACACAGGCCACACTAACCCAGACCCCAGCAGGTGTTGTACAGGTGTAGTACACAGGTCACACTAACCCAGACCCCAGCAGGTGTTGTACAGGTGTAGTACACAGGTCACACTAACCCAGACCCCAGCAGGTGTTGTACAGGAGGAGTACACAGGTCACACTAACCCAGACCCCAGCAGGTGTTGTACAGGTGTAGTACACAGGTCACACTAACCCAGACCCCAGCAGGTGTTGTACAGGAGGAGTACACAGGTCACACTAACCCAGACCCCAGCAGGTGTTGTACTGGTGTAGTACACAGGTCACACTAACCCAGACCCCAGCAGGTGTTGTACTGGTGTAGTACACAGGTCACACTAACCCAGACCCCAGCAGGTGTTGTACAGGAGAAGTACACAGGTCACACTAACCCAGACCCCAGCAGGTGTTGTACTGGTGTAGTACACAGGTCACACTAACCCAGACCCCAGCAGGTGTTGTACTGGTGTAGTACACAGGTCACACTAACCCAGACCCCAGCAGGTGTTGTACAGGTGTAGTACACAGGTCACACTAACCCAGACCCCAGCAGGTGTTGTACAGGTGTAGTACACAGGTCACACTAACCCAGACCCCAGCAGGTGTTGTACAGGTGTAGTACACAGGTCACACTAACCCAGACCCCAGCAGGTGTTGTACAGGTGTAGTACACAGGTCACACTAACCCAGACCCCAGCAGGTGTTGTACTGGTGTAGTACACAGGTCACACTAACCCAGACCCCAGCAGGTGTTGTACAGGTGTAGTACAAAGGTCACAAAAGGTCATAATCAGACCCCAGCAGGTGTTGTACTGGTGTAGTACACAGGTCACACTAACCCAGACCCCAGCAGGTGTTGTACAGGTGTAGTACACAGGTCACAAAAGGTCATAATCAGACCCCAGCAGGTGTTGTACAGGTGTAGTACACAGGTCACACTAACCCAGACCCCAGCAGGTGTTGTACATGTGTAGTACACAGGTCACACTAACCCAGACCCCAGCAGGTGTTGTACAGGAGGAGTACACAGGTCACACTAACCCAGACCCCAGCAGGTGTTGTACAGGTGTAGTACACAGGTCACACTAACCCAGACCCCAGCAGGTGTTGTACAGGAGGAGTACACAGGTCACACTAACCCAGACCCCAGCAGGTGTTGTACAGGTGGAGTACACAGGTCACACTAACCCAGACCCCAGCAGGTGTTGTACAGGTGTAGTACACAGGTCACACTAACCCAGACCCCAGCAGGTGTTGTACAGGTGTAGTACACAGGTCACACTAACCCAGACCCCAGCAGGTGTTGTACAGGTGGAGTACACAGGCCACACTAACCCAGACCCCAGCAGGTGTTGTACAGGTGTAGTACACAGGTCACACTAACCCAGACCCCAGCAGGTGTTGTACAGGTGTAGTACACAGGCCACACTAACCCAGACCCCAGCAGGTGTTGTACAGGTGTAGTACACAGGTCACACTAACCCAGACCCCAGCAGGTGTTGTACAGGTGTAGTACACAGGTCACACTAACCCAGACCCCAGCAGGTGTTGTACAGGAGGAGTACACAGGTCACACTAACCCAGACCCCAGCAGGTGTTGTACAGGTGTAGTACACAGGTCACACTAACCCAGACCCCAGCAGGTGTTGTACAGGAGGAGTACACAGGTCACACTAACCCAGACCCCAGCAGGTGTTGTACAGGTGTAGTACACAGGTCACACTAACCCAGACCCCAGCAGGTGTTGTACAGGAGGAGTACACAGGTCACACTAACCCAGACCCCAGCAGGTGTTGTACAGGAGGAGTACACAGGTCACACTAACCCAGACCCCAGCAGGTGTTGTACAGGTGTAGTACACAGGTCACACTAACCCAGACCCCAGCAGGTGTTGTACAGGAGGAGTACAGAGGTCACACTAACCCAGACCCCAGCAGGTGTTGTACTGGTGTAGTACACAGGTCACACTAACCCAGACCCCAGCAGGTGTTGTACTGGTGTAGTACACAGGTCACACTAACCCAGACCCCAGCAGGTGTTGTACTGGTGTAGTACACAGGTCACACTAACCCAGACCCCAGCAGGTGTTGTACTGGTGTAGTACACAGGTCACACTAACCCAGACCCCAGCAGGTGTTGTACAGGTGTAGTACACAGGTCACAAAAGGTCATAATCAGACCCCAGCAGGTGTTGTACAGGTGGAGTACACAGGTCACACTAACCCAGACCCCAGCAGGTGTTGTACTGGTGTAGTACACAGGTCACACTAACCCAGACCCCAGCAGGTGTTGTACAGGTGTAGTACACAGGTCACAAAAGCTCATAATCAGACCCCAGCAGGTGTTGTACAGGTGGAGTACAAAGGTCACAAAAGGTCATAATCAGACCCCAGCAGGTGTTGTACAGGTGGAGTACACAGGTCACAAAAGGTCATAATCAGACCCCAGCAGGTGTTGTACAGGTGGAGTACAAAGGTCACAAAAGGTCATAATCAGACCCCAGCAGGTGTTGTACAGGTGGAGTACAAAGGTCACAAAAGGTCATAATCAGACCCCAGCAGGTGTTGTACAGGTGGAGTACAAAGGTCACAAAAGGTCATAATCAGACCCCAGCAGGTGTTGTACAGGTGGAGTACACAGGTCACAAAAGGTCATAATCAGACCCCAGCAGGTGTTGTACAGGTGGAGTACAAAGGTCACAAAAGGTCATAATCAGACCCCAGCAGGTGTTGTACAGGTGTAGTACACAGGTCACAAAAGCTCATAATCAGACCCCAGCAGGTGTTGTACAGGTGGAGTACAAAGGTCACAAAAGGTCATAATCAGACCCCAGCAGGTGTTGTACAGGTGGAGTACACAGGTCACAAAAGGTCATAATCAGACCCCAGCAGGTGTTGTACAGGTGGAGTACACAGGTCACAAAAGCTCATAATCAGACCCCAGCAGGTGTTGTACAGGTGGAGTACAAAGGTCACAAAAGCTCATAATCAGACCCCAGCAGGTGTTGTACAGGTGGAGTACAAAGGTCACAAAAGCTCATAATCAGACCCCAGCATAAATTTGAAACAAAATTTACACATTGAATAATGACCGAATAATTATATAATTGTTTTGATAATTACAAAAATACTTTTCATATATTACAAAATAGCGGGATGATAAATATTGTATTTATTTGGTCAGTGCTTTGCATGACATGTCCTCATTACTGATACATTTTATTCTGTCCGTTGGGGATTATACCTACTAATGGGAGGTACGAACCCAACCACCTACACAGTTACATAATAATAATAATAATAATAACAATAATAATAATAATAATAATAATAAAAAATTTTTATTCAGGTAAGGTAGATACATACAAGGTAAGATACAAAAGTTGATGGATTTATAGATAGAGCTAGTACATACAATGCCTAAAGCCACTATTACCATTTATTTTGTAATTTATTTATTTTATATATATAAGAAGGTACATTGGGTTTGTGAGAGTACATAACACTGATGTGTCTGGGTGGGAGCCCCGTCGGCTCCCTCGAGCTATCCAGGCTGATATGGATATATTAGACTTTGGCATCAATGTGCATGGAGTTCTAGGCCTATCGGGGACCATGAGACAGAACCTGGCCCCCTCAGAGAGGCGCAAGGAGCAATGGTCTATAGAAACCCCTGTGTGGTTGGAAGCACTCTATGTCTGTCATCGACTGTGTCAGGCACCCAGAAAGGTAAGCACCCTAAAACAAACCTTTATTCTGGTTAAAATATTGGTACCGAAAGCCGAACTAGTGGACAGAACTCCCGAAATGAAAACGAGCAAACGAGCATGACGTCACCACGTCTCCGTGCCACTGTCTGCACCCCCCCCCCCCCCCCAACTCCATGGGAGGGGAAAAGGGAAGCTCCAGACCCTCACGCTGGCTATCCATCCTGCAGTTCTTCGGCTGATGTGATTGGCAACAGTCATGTGTCTGGCTTCTGTTTCCCTGTCTCCACCTCTGTGCCTTGTGGTGTGGTGCTGTGTCCATGGTGGTGCGCAAGCCAGGAGCAATTTCACAATTACTCGGGCTGCACGCACCTGCATACGCCCTGTAAGTCCTGCCCTTCGGGCTCGGGGCCACCTTCCACAAGTCACCTTGGGATCTACCTCTGCTGTGTCTTTTGCTCTCGGTGACTGACCACCCTTGGAGTCATCTTGGGTATTCATATTCCCCCTGTTTGCCTCTGGGTAGGGGGTAGTTTTCATCATTGGTTGGGGCGCAGGGTATTGTGCAGCTAGTTTTTCTGACCAGGGGGAGAAAGATACTGGCAGTATGGGGCGTTAAAGTTTATTGAAGATTAAATTCTGCAGAACATGTAAATATATAAAGTTCACATAAAGTAAGTAATTATATAAAGTTTATATTAAACACGGTTTATTATAGGCTTAACAAAGTTGATATTATATAAAACTTAATATTGAACATGTAAATATACAAAGTTTCAAATATAATTTAAGGAATATATAACGTTTATATTAAAATATATAAAGTAAATATATAAAGTAAATATATAAAGTAAGAATTAACAGTAACAATTCCAAGGACTAGATTTAACTTAAAAGGTACACCCGTAGTAAGTATGAGACCTTAGCCTATAGTGACATGGAAACTAATTCTGCAGAAACCTAAAGGTTAACTGGTACTAGAATTAAGGCCGAGTGCAAATGTGTAGTAATTATATAACACTAGGATATAACAGGCAGGACACAAAGAATAACTAATAAGTGAGAGACCACATAACACGTAATGTACCCGGCCAAGAGGCCGTAAAAGACCTAATGGATAAGGAGAAGGGGGTGTGACTACAAGTAGGGCTTACTAGCACCTAGACTGGGCAAAGTATTAGCTGCGGACAGCGGGACACTTGGGGACCGGCGCTGCACCCCCCCTTCCCACATGCAGTGGGGAGACAATCGGGACAACTGTGCAAAGCATGACGGGGTACAAAAGCAGCCGCTTGCAAAAGGGGGGGAGGGTGGGGTTTTGCGAGGGCAGCGGCGAGGGCAGGCGGAGTGAGGCGGAGCCCCGTTGTGCGCCCGTATTTATACGGCCCCAAACTGCCCGCGCAACGCCGCGGGACGCGCTGCGCAATTGTTTCTTTCTCCCCCGCCAGAAACATCCCCGCTTGTGTTGCAAGCAGTGACCATATCACCTCTCCTAGTGACCGGTTCTGTTCCGCCTGGGTACATTGTCTTCACGCTGTTTTTTTTTTTCTTTTTGTTTTTCTTGCCTAGTGGGAGGTTTTCACTTTGATTGGTCACATCCTATTTCAGGATTGTTTCTCGGAGGCTCCTTTTCTGTTGGCATTGGCCTCTAGGGGTCGGGTCGGAGAGCTTCATGCTCTCTTCCGGCGCAGGAGTTTTCTGCTCCTTCGGTCGTGGCGATAGGTTTGTTCATCTGAAGCCGTCTCCTTCTTTTCTGGCAAAGAATGAGACTGCTGCTTTCTGGAGGGGTCCTTGGGTTGTTGATGCTTGGTTGGTCGGGCCAGGGGTTTAGAAGACTTCTAAACAGAGGTTAAGTCCCATGCACAGATACCATATGTAAGATAGGGATAGATTAGCGGTACTATAGTGAGAGGAGAGTAGAGTTTGGAACATAATATGGTATCTGATTTTAGAAAACATACCAACCGGTTTTGAGACTTTCTTGGTTACGTGTTGTATGTGGGTGTTGAAGGTGAGTCTCTTGTCTAAGTATAGGCCAAGGAGCTTTCCATCAGTTTTATTGCTGATGTTAATATTGTCTAACATAACAGCAAATAATATAGATTTAAAAATGTTAGAAGGGCAACCATGCAAGGCCTACAACTTTGGTACCTGCATTTAGATTCTAGTCAGAGCAAAACAACAGTTTAATTCTCACTCATGTATAATAGGTTTAGTATATAATTTGTGTTAATAATTTACAGGAGAGCTTCTGTTCATCATGTTTGGATTGTACCTGGCGTGGCACTTGAACAAGGCGGCGAGGAACTCCGGAGACTGTAGTGAGCTCTCGGAGAGGCGAGCCCTGACTACTGCCCTGGTCTTGGAGCTGGTCACATCAACCACACTTTACACCGGGCGTCACATGGTGTGGCTGCGTGCACACCCTGACCACGTCTTCCTCGCATACTTTGCAAGAACTCAACTTACTATTACTCTCTCCATTTTGTTGATCTTAACTCCTAAGGCAAGTTAGTTTTAATTATTAGCTTTTAAATTTGGGTAAAATGTTGCACATAGTGTTCATTTTTGCAAGTGCTCTAGTCTTTAGGCGTAGGCACCTTTTTTCATAATTCTTTACTGTTCACTGTTGTCATATTCCATTTGCTACACATGTATCATTTTGCATTTTTGGTTTCTTTTTCCAGTTACACAGTACTGTATTGACAATGACCTCAACGACTTGACTACAGAGAAATTGTAAACAATGGTGCCACATTCAGCTGTGGGCAGTACAGTGTCTGTAGTCAAACTCTTAACCCACACTTCCCTCCTCCTGGACACATGTTCTTGTGCAACCTCCCCCACACTTCCCTCCACCTGGACACATGTTCTTGTACAACCTCCCACACACTTCCCTCCACCTGGACACATGTTCTTGTACAACCTCCCCCACACTTCCCTCCACCTGGACACATGTTCTTGTACAACCTCCCCCACACTTCCCTCCACCTGGACACATGTGCTTGTACAACCTCCCCCAAACTTCCCTCCACCTGGACACATGTGCTTGTACAACCTCCCACACACTTCCCTCCTCCTGGACACATGTTCTTGTACAACCTCCCCCACACTTCCCTCCTCCTGGACACATGTGCTTGTACAACCTCCCCCACACTTCCCTCCTCCTGGACACATGTGCTTGTATAACCTCCCACACACTTCCCTCCACCTGGACACATGTGCTTGTACAACCTCCCACACACTTCCCTCCACCTGGACACATGTGCTTGTACAACCTCCCACAAGAAAGGTAACCGTTCTAGCTCTTTTCATTATTCGTGTATTTCAGTTCGCCTACTTTCTGAAAGGGTTTGAATCAAACATTAATGAACAGGTAATTGAATACCTTAAAAGCTGCACTCTTGAGAACAATCAAGGGATCTATATGGGTAATTAGATTGGTGATGCTCTCTGGTGCCTCTCATGCATGGTCGACCGCACTTCCTGGCTCTCCCCAGTTTTTGTAGTGGCACTGAGTACATTTTCAAAACTTGACTCTCGTCTTTTTTTTTATTGACAAAATTAGATATACTGTACACAGCAATGTGCTGCTATCCTATTCTAGATGAGATATTACACAGTGTAGATCAAGAAGTAGCTATAGGTTCAACTATTGTTCCCATCTCACAGGATGGTTAGTCGTACATGGAATTAGGGGAGATAATACCTGCCTTAATACAAAAACAAATCAACTCTGACTTAAAATCAGGTGAGAACATAAAATGTAAGGCTGATCTATAAGCCTCCACTAGCAAAATCTGGGTACAGCACAAGAATATCTTCCAGTATTACTGAGTGTATGAAGTAATTACAGAGCTCAAAGTACCTCATACCATTTGGTCTGAAGTCACTTATAACAGGGCAATCACAGATATAGTGTTGGAGAGTATGTCCCAGCTCTTGTTAACATAGTTTACAATTGGAATGTTCACCATTGGGGATTCATTACCTGCAGCCACCTGCCATAGATATCGATATCCCAGCTTAATCTCGTCTTCTGTAGATCCATCACTATTTTATATGGGAATGGTGTAAGGCCATCCTAATTCTTTTCAATATCATTATATATAATTTACTTATTTTCACATAAAATAATTTCAGACATATTTTTCGGATAAAATAATTCAGATATTTTTTTACAATGTTTATACAAATGTGTGTGAAACATGTGAACAATATTTTTTCGGTCGTACATCTCATTAAATTACATTTTTTTGCAAAGACTATTATTATTATTATTATTATTATTATTATTATTATTATTATTATTATTATTACAGTGTAATGTGGACGTTGGTTTCAGGTGTGGTGTGCTGCTGGTGTGGGGGGCCAAGACCTGCCGAGAAGGACCTACTCCACCACGGAAGGTGTCCAGGAGCCTCGCTTCTGTGATGCTCTCACCAACGGTGACCTGGAAGCCTCTGATATCAACCTTAGTCAGATGGACCCTGAGGAGATCCGAGTGAGTGAAGGAAAGTTTGGGTATAATTTGAATTCATTGTGTTGGGGGACAGGCAGCCAGTTTACATATGTTAGGCATATATCTAGGTCACCCCCCCCTTCTCCCATCCCTCCAAGGTTGAAATACTGCCCCCTCAGGATGCAATCTCATAACAAGCTGACTAGCTCCTACGTACCTATTTACTGATAGGTGGACAGTGACATTTGGTGACAGGAAACACACCCAACTATTTCTGTCTGACTTGGGATTTGAACCCAGAATTCCCGATTGTGAATCGAGAACAAACTCGACTGTACTATCCAGATGCTATAAAAGTATAGAGACAATGATTATACTGTACATGACCACATCAATGACCAGAGAGTTAGGTTAATATGTTTATCATGGAGGCCGTACCCATGGGTAGTGTTTATCATGCAGGCCGTACCCATGGGTAGTGTTTATCATGGAGGCCGTACCCATGGGTAGTGTTTATCATGGAGGCCGTACCCATGGGTATTGTTTATCATGGAGACCGTACCCATGGGTAGTGTTTATCATGGAGGCCGTACCCATGGGTAGTGTTTATCATGGAGGCCGTACCCATGGGTAGTGTTTATCATGGAGACCGTACCCGCGGGTAGTGTTTATCATGCAGGCCGTACCCGCGGGTAGTGTTTATCATGCAGGCCGTACCCATGGGTAGTGTTTATCATGCAGGCCGTACCCGCGGGTAGTGTTTATCATGCAGGCCGTACCCGCGGGTAGTGTTTATCATGCAGGCTGTACCATTCTCATCAAGCATTAGGCAGTGATGATGGAATGCATTAGGCAGTGATGTGGTGGAGGCAGACTCCATACACAGTTTCAAATGTAGATATGAATAGGCTCAGGAATCTGTACTCCAGTTGATTGACAGTCGAGAGGCAGGACCAAACAGCTGAAGCTCAACCCCTGCAAGTACAACTAGGTGAGTACTTGGGAAGTGTTAGAAGGGTTACAGACTCACAATGGGTTAAGAACCTTCAAGTTAGTGTTTTTACTCGAGCAACAAAGAGTAATAATCAACAGTTGATAATATATAGACTGCACAGTAATTCCTGGCTTTTAATAGTAGTAGTAGTAGTAGTAGTAATAATGATAATAATAATAATAATAATAAATAATAATTTATTCACAACTAGGTACAATAGGTTGGTGAGATTACATAAGACTGGTGAAGATATATGTACATTCATGCAAAGCCACAACACGCATAGCATTTCCGGCAGGTCCTTAATCTAACATATCAGATAGGATGAAAAGGTACATTGTAGCAAGGTTTTTATATCAACAAATAACTACAATATAAATTGACAGAGGTGATTACACTTATAAAGATGTGTGTCTTAAGTATGGCACTGTAGTAACATTGGAGAAGTGGGTAGTACAAGATTCAGTGTGAGTTTGAAGCACAAAGTAGGACGCTATGAGGATGAAATTAGGGACTTTTGGGGTTTACTTTTGAGTAGGTTTTATGTTGGAAATTTTTTTAATTCATCAGGGACTGAGTTCCAAAGACTGGGCCCTTTCATTTGCACGGAGTGTTTGTACAGATTTAGTCTGACTCTGGGGATATCAAAAGAGAGATTTATTTCTGGTGTGGTGTTCATGGGTTCTATTTCAGATTCAGATTCAGATTCAGATGTTTATTCAGGTAAGGTATATACATACAAGTGATGTTACATTAATGGATTGATATATAGATAGAGCTAGTACATACAATGCCTAAAGCCACTATTACGCAATGCGTTTCGGGCAAGAAAAACATTAATATCTAGAACTTAATACTAATTGAGCATAAAGAATAAAAAGTGTTGAGAACAAATACAAATAAAGATAAAAAAAAAGGGGGAACATGACTGAAAAAGCAGCACAAATACAATAGGTTGACAAACAGTGTTGATTAAAAAAAAAAAAAAAAAGAAAATAACAGACATGGGTTGACAATAGAGGAGTGAGGTAGATTACAGGGAATTTATTAGGTAGTGTTTAGTTTTTATCTTAAACTGGTTGAGAGAGGTACAGTCTTTAACATGGTTGGGAAGGTCATTTCATTTATCAAGGAAAAGTTTCAGATCAAGATGAGCATTTAGGAACAAGGTTTTGTACATATAAATAGCACATGAGAACATGTGCTTGCACAAAGAGAACATTCCTTGCTAATGATATTCCATCCTCCCGTACTAATGTTAAAGACTACCTTTACAGGTAGCTATCCAGTGTCTCTGTACCTAACTCCTGCTAGTTCCAATGATGTTAATGAGATAATCCTTTCCCTTAAAACAAAGTCTAGTGCCCTTGCTGAGATACCAACTCTAATTTACAAAAAAGCCTCCAGATTTCTACCTCTTGCCATTGCATTGCTCTACAACAAGTCACTTGAACTCCAAACCTTTCCAGATATTCTAAAAAATGCGAGAATAACCCCAGTCTATAAATGTGGTGATCTCACTGATGTCAACAATTTCAGACCTATATCAATTCTGCCAAACTTGTCAAAAATATTTGAAAAACTAATCTACAAGCAGCTTTACTCTTATCTAGCCACAATATACTTAGCTCTTGCCTATATGGTTTCAGACCCCAAAAAAGCACTAACAATGCACTTATTAGTATGATTAACTTGATACATGCAGCTCTTGATAAAAATGAGTTCCCTATTGGGTTATTTGTGGACCTACATAAGGCTTTTGACACTGTTAACCACCAAAACCTTCTTCTTAAATTACATCATTATGGAGTCAAAGGTCACTCCCTGCAGTACCTTCAGTCTTACCATACTGACAGGCTCCAGTATATTTCTGTGAATAATTCAATTTCTCCCACCCTACCTATCAACATTGGTGTTCCTCAGGGCAGCATACTTGACCCTCTCCTCTTTCTCATCTATATTAAAGACCTTCCAAATGCCTCCCAACACCTCAAACCAATCTTATTTGCTGATGACACAACCTTCTTTTCTCCATTCCTGACCCTCTTGCTCTAAATGTCAGTGAATACTAAACTAAATAAAATTCATCTTTGGCTAACTGCTAACAAACTCACCCTTAACATTAACAAAACTTTCTATATTTTATTTGGTAATAAATCTTCAAATCAATTTAATCTAAGAATAAACAATATCCAAATCAGTAACAAAGTAGATGGCAAATTCCTTGGTGTTCTCATCGATAACAAGCTGAATTTCCAGGGATATATTCTAAATATAGCCAAAAAAGTTTCTAAAACTGTTGGCATTCTTTCTAATTCAAATTTTATGTACCTCGCCCTGCTATGGTGACACTCTATTACTCTCATATATCCTCATCTAAATTATGGTATTTGTTCTCGGGGTTCTACTACCCAAAATCATTTACGTCCTCTAATTACTCAACACAAAGCTGCTATTAGAACAATATCTAACTCTGGGTCCAGACAGCACTCGGCACCCTTACTCAAATCTTTGAATATGTTAGATATTAAGTCACTGCACATCCTCTCATGTGTACTCTATATATTTAAAACTCTGAACTGCAATGTCAATCCTGACCTTAAAAGCTTCCCAGAAGGTTGTAACAGAACCCATGAGCACCACACCAGAAACAAATACCTATCTGATATTCCAAGTGCAACTTAATCAAACTAGAAATGCTCTACAAATCAAGGGACCCAGAATGTGGAATAACCTCCCTAATCATGTCAAAGGCTGTACCTCTCTGAACTGGTTTAAGAGTAGAACTAAGTATTACCTAATTACCTCCATGTAATCTACCTTACCCCCTAAATGTCAACCCATGTCTTATTATTTTAAGCAATGCTGTTTGTTGACCAATTTGTAATATTGCTGATTTATGCTATGTCCCCCCCCCCTCTCCTTTTCTTTATTCCTTTTTTCAACACAATTTATACCTTAATCTCAATTACTATTGAGCTTTAGTCTGTCTTTTTTTTTCTCCCACACCTTGCCCAAAATTCTATGCGTACTAGTGGGTTTAGGTATTGTATGTACTACCTCTATAAATCCAACATTATGTTTGTAACTCATCATCTATGTATGTACTTTTACCTGAATAAAAACTTGAATTTGAATTTGAATGTTGTGGGGCTTCTAGCCATGGCCAGGTTGTGGCTATGTGGTCACCCATCCACTTACTAATCATATCTTTCAGTAAGAATTGGTGGAAATTATGAGTTTAGTATTAATTCCTACCAGATCATTTGCATAAGTGTGTGTGATAATAAAGATAAATTTTAGTGCGGTGTGTATTTGTTAAGCACCTAACATCCAGAACGTGTCTTCATTCCTTAAATAAAAAAGGTAGTAAATTTTCTGTTCAAATGTATAATCATTGCAGCTTTATATTATTGCTTAGTAATTGTAGTATGATTGGTTCCCATGGCATCAGACCGAGCTGAGACGAGTCTACACTCAGCTTGAGGTTCTCCGCACCAAGACGATGAGGAAAGACAACCCTCATATCTCCAAGAGACGTGGTGGACGTAAGGCCACTCACAGAAGGTTCTCCCTGCAAGTGAGTCTCCAGGATTGAACAGTTACATAAGTATTATACATTAAGTAAACATTATTATTGTTTAATAATAAATAATGAACCTACTTCTCATCAAGTATCCTGCTCCCTCAACCTCCTTCTCATCAAGTATCCTGCTCCCTCAACCTCCTTCTCATCAAGTATCCTGCTCCCTCAACCTCCTTCTCATCAAGTATCCTGCTCCCTCAACCTCCTTCTCATCAAGTATCTTGCTCCCTCAACCTCCTTCTCATCAAGTATCCTGCTCCCTCAACCTCCTTCTCATAAAGTATCCTGCTCCCTCGACCTCCTTCTCATCAAGTATCCTGCTCCCTCAACCTCCTTCTCATAAAGTATCCTGCTCCCTCGACCTCCTTCTCATCAAGTATCCTGCTCCCTCGACCTCCTTCTCATCAAGTATCCTGCTCCCTCGACCTCCTTCTCATCAAGTATCCTGCTCCCTCGACCTCCTTCTCATCAAGTATCCTGCTCCCTCGACCTCCTTCTCATCAAGTATCCTGCTCCCTCAACCTCCTTCTCATAAAGTATCCTGCTCCCTCGACCTCCTTCTCATCAAGTATCCTGCTCCCTCGACCTCCTTCTCATCAAGTATCCTGCTCCCTCGACCTCCTCCTCATCAAGTATCCTGCTCCCTCAACCTCCTCCTCCTCAAGTATCCTGCTCCCTCAACCTCCTTCTCATCAAGTATCCTGCTCCCTCAACCTCCTCAAGTATCCTGCTCCCTCAACCTACTTCTTGTAATTCTTTGCCAAAGTCATGTTTAAAAATGTTTATCTCTAATTTTACACCAGATATTTTGTTGCAATTTTGATAACTATCTTCTTTTCTGTGGGGAGTCTTGTTGGCTCCCTGAAGCTATCTCAACTATATTAGTTTGATGTCATCAGTCACAAGAGTTCTTATGCCTACCGGGAACCACGAGTAGTTGTCGGAGGACGTCTCTGCCCAGTTTCTGCTGGCGCCTTCGGCCAGTTGCCATCCTATTTTGAACTTCTTGGTGCTCTTGGGGGTTGGGGGGCGGTGTTCCCCGTCCTCTCGGTAGGGTCGTGCTAGGGCTCGGGCCTCGGTTGGTCAGGGTAGGCCTTTGGTGCCAGTTTGTGTCGGTGGGTTTCCCGGGGCCGCCTTCATCTGATCTGCACGGTGTTCACTCTGTGCGGTAGTTGGCTTCTCGGGGTTCGCATTGGTCCTTTTGCGGGGTGCCCCATTCACAGGACAATCGGGGGGAGGCTGGCTCTTTTTGGATGTGTTTGGTCCCGCAATTCGGTGGCTTTTCGGGTCATTTCTTCCAACCTTTGGTGGAGTTGGGTGGCCCTTTCCTCTGTCAGGTGGTCGGGTTTCTGGGGCAGGCTTCTTCCCTGTCCCTTTGTTGGGGTCATCTCGAAGTGGCTTCGCTTGTGAACCAGTTGATTTCTCGCCCTTCTTTTGGGATGACCATATTGTTCCAGGTCCGGCTCGTTCATGGGCCGGGCACTTGGATGATTTCCCTGGACCCCCGGGACGCTTATTGGCACATCCTGATTCATCTGGGGTTTAGGGATTGGTTGAGGTTTAAGGTGGGGCGACAGGCTTACGCTTTTGTTGTCTTCCATTCGGTTTGAATCTGGCACCTCAAGTTTTCATATACTTAACTCTGGGCGTGGTGCGCCCATCTGCTTCTGCTATTCGGGTTTTGACCTACCTCCACGACTGGTTAGTGTGGGCTCCCAGCCAATCTGCTTGTCTACTAGCCAGGGGTCAGGTTCTTTCCCAGCTCATCAGGTTCGGATTCCTGGTAAACTGGCAAAAGTCCCATTTGGTTCCATCCCAGGTTCAACCACTTTGGGTGGATGGTAGAGCGACGGTCTCGCTTCATGCAGATCAGCGTTCAATCCCCAACCATCCAAATAGTTGGGCATATCTTCCCAACTGGCCATTCCTTTCCCCCGTCCCATCCCAAATCATGTATTCTGCTTCTGACCCCTTCCAAGTGCTATATAGTTGTAATGGCTTGGCACTTTCTCCTGATAATAACCTTTCCCTTTCCGTCCCAGGTTCGGACTTGGCTGGGCCTCATAAGGGATTCTCGAACTGCGTCCCTTTCTCTCCCTCCTGCAGCCCTGCTCTAGCTGCAGACCTGCCTTCAGCTGTTTTTGAGAGGGACCCGGGTCACTCGGCAGTTGCTCGAGCAGCTGTGCGGGAGCCTGAACTTTGGTGGTTGATCCGTTGGGCAGGGTTTGGCTTCGAAGACTTCTGGTATCTTAGGGTCATCCTCTTTCACCCCTTTCGAGATCTCTGGTTTCGGTTCCCGGTGTATTTGCGTCAGTTGCTGTGTTGCCGGCTTCCTCTTCGGGTTTTTCTTTTTCAGTCCATGGCCCCTTCCTCTTCCCTCATGGATGCCTCATCTCTCGGATGAGGCTTTGTGACCAGTGCTCACCAGTCTGGCCAGGGTCAATGGGGGCTATCCTTATGTCGGGCTCACAGCATGGTGTGGGAGTTTGCGACGGTGTGGCAGGCGCTGCTCCAGATTCAGTTTCCTCGGGACTTGATGATCCTGCTCTATTCGAACTGCTCCCCTGTGGTTCATTGTCTCAACCAAGGGGGTTGGTCCCTTCGGTCAGTGGCTCTTTGGGGCTGATCGCTTCAGGTGGTTCTTTTGCAGAGTTCTTGGGGTTTAGCTCTCTGTACTGTTCACATTCAGGGAGTTTCCAACATTCTGGCAGACAGCCTGTCGAGCTTCATTCGTCTTTCCACGGAGTGAATGGTCGACTGTATTTATTCATACTTTATAGTACTTGCAGGTGTTTATGCATATTGTACAGCATTTGTAGGTGTTTTTACGTTATACATTACTTACAGGTGTTTATGCATATTGTACATTACTTGCAGGTGTTTATGCATATTGTACATTACTTGCAGGTGTTTATGCATATTGTACATTACTTGCAGGTGTTTATGCATATTGTACATTACTTGCAGGTGTTTATGCATATTGTACAGTACTTACAGGGGTTTATGCATATTGTACAGTACTTGCAGGTGTTTATGCATATTGTACATTACTTGCAGGTGTTTATGCATATTGTACATTACTTACAGGTGTTTATGCATATTGTACATTACTTACAGGTGTTTATGCATATTGTACATTACTTACAGGGGTTTATGCATATTGTACATTACTTGCAGGTGTTTATGCATAGTGTACAGTACTTACAGGGGTTTATGCATATTGTACATTACTTACAGGGGTTTATGCATATTGTACATTACTTACAGGGGTTTATGCATATTGTACATTACTTACAGGGGTTTATGCATATTGTACATTACTTGCAGGTGTTTATGCATATTGTACATTACTTGCAGGTGTTTATGCATAGTGTACAGTACTTGCAGGTGTTTATGCATAGTGTACAGTACTTGCAGGTGTTTATGCATAGTGTACAGTACTTGCAGGTGTTTATGCATATTGTACAGTACTTGCAGGTGTTTATGCATATTGTACAGTACTTGCAGGTGTTTATGCATATTGTACAGTACTTGCAGGTGTTTATGCATAGTGTACAGTACTTGCAGGTGTTTATGCATAGTGTACAGTACTTGCAGGTGTTTATGCATAGTGTACAGTACTTGCAGGTGTTTATGCATATTGTACAGTACTTGCAGGTGTTTATGCATATTGTACAGTACTTGCAGGTGTTTATGCATAGTGTACAGTACTTGCAGGTGTTTATGCATAGTGTACAGTACTTGCAGGTGTTTATGCATATTGTACAGTACTTGCAGGTGTTTAAATACCAGCTTGTGGACTCTTAAAGTATCCCAGCATTAAATAGAACTCCTTTTCATATAGATTATGCTTTAGATCAGGTTATGATTCAAGTTTCATGTAATGACAAATTATGAACAAATGCTTTGTTTTACAGAGTCGCACAGGAAGTCGAGAAAAGGTACTTTTGTGTTTTTTTTGTCATAAAGTCTAAAATGTGTTATACATGTCTGTCATCTTTAAACTTAAAAAATTATCACCTAAGTTTAATGTAGGCATATATGCTTATCACCTAAACATATATGCACATGTTAAAATAATCATCTAAATGTATATGTTCACCTTTAAAATAATCACCTAAACATATGTGCCTGCATTAAAATAATCGCCTAAACATGTATGCTCATGTTAAAATTATCACCTAAACGTATATATATACCTGTGTAAAAATTGTCACCAAAACATATTTACATACACTAGATTAAATATTCACCTAAACATATATGACGATAAAATTATCATGTAAACACAATGCCTATGTTAAAATTATCACCTAAGCATATATGACCACATTAAAATTATCTCCTAAGTCTATGTTGACATAATCACCTAAACATTTATGCCCATGTTAGTTAAAATAATTACCTGAACATGTATATGTACCCCTTCGTATTCAATCAGCAGTAAGAAGTCGGATATGATACTGTACTGTGTGGCACTTAATTGTAGTATAGACCATTACCACTTCGTATTTGCACGTTACATTATCAACTCAGTATAATTGTCCCAGACCACACACTCTTTTCTGTAATATCTTAATTTATTTATTTCCCCACCAGTCATTCCATCGCCACCACCAGCGCCCTCTGCCACTCTCACTGGAAGGTTGCGAGGGTGACATCAGCAAAACTCCAGAGGAATCTGTGTGTTCGATTGAAGGTCCCTCAGTTGTGTCCGTCTACGCTGATGGGCCTTCAGACACTGGAACACCGTCAATCTTGCATAGATCGTATAAATTATGAAAATATAACTTGAGGGTACTTGCTATGTTCCCCAGCAATGTAGATGACATCAGAGTACACTTATAAATATTTCATCCATACATGTTTCTTTTGATGATCCATTCAATACAGCAAAAGATGTATTCATTGAAGTACTGTATGTGTAATTCTAAAACAAATTCCAACATGGTGCATGTCTACACATCATAGTACTGTGTGTGTACAAATGAAGCAAAAGCAAGTGAGCAACACTTGAGTAAATGATGTTCACAGTATCAGATTTGTAATCATTTTATATCAATATTTTGATTTAGAATATAGATTTTATGTAAATGAAATAGTAATGTAAAAGATTTATGCGAGAAATGAAACCGTTACGGTGTGGGGCAGGAAGTTGCTGGCTCATCAGAGGGCATCTTGAGCCACCATCATAATCTAGTCACAGCTCTAACATTGTTAATACATTTCATGGCTCCCAGTCAATATTTTTATACATCACTCACATTTCATTCTCTAAGCTATATCAAGAGCATTATATCAAGTTTTTTATTACATTTGTTCGTGTAGAATTGTTTATCGCCATATTGCTTTGTTTATTTATAGATAAGATCTTAAAATTAGCAAGAAACCAAAATGATTGTGTAATGTGCAGATGTAGTGTGTGTTGTGTTATGTAAGAACCATACATTGATTTGTTGTCATATGTGTAAACAACAGTTTTAACATTGCTTAGATACATCTTTATGAAGTATCGATGTTAAACATATAGAATAGTTGCATTCATCACACACACATTATTAGCTCAAAATTGTTACCTCAAACTGTTTGTTCCAGTGTTGTGCATTGTGCCTAATGCAAGTTAAATAATGTCCATGAGGCAGCCGAGATTACCAGTGAGTTTATTCTCCTTCAAGTGTGTCACAAATATTTCTTTAATTAACATGTGCTCTTGTACTTTTTCATAAGTGTTATTTCCCAAAACTAACATCATTTTTGTTTGCATTCTGTATTAATCATTTTACTATTGACTGGTATCTTTAATATTTCAAATCTTGGAAATTTACTCTTAATGTAATATGAATTTTATGCTTGCATTATACTGTTAAAAAAGTTGCTGAATATTATATTTACACACATGGCCTCCTGTGTTCACTTTCTCACTTGACTTTATTTCTCAGTGTAAGTCTCTCTTCCAGTGTAAGTTTTACTTTCATTATCTGTCATTTTATCTCTGCTTGGTTCCTCTCTCCTCATGTTTTCTCCAGTACTGCTATCTTTATTTCTCTGATTCCTATCCTCTTGAATTAATGGTAAATTAAAGTCTGTTTCAGCTTATGAGGGTCAGCTAGCTTAAATTTCTTATGGAAACTACAAACTACAAGCTTGAGATTAAAATTTTATATATATATATACTGTCTCCACTCGATTATCCGGACTATATGGGAAGGCCCCCAGCCGGATATTCACGTGTTCCAGATAATGGTACTTTTTCACCTCTGAGTCCAAAAGTGACCATTTCCAACTATTCTTATACTACAAACAGCAATTTGAATTGTCTTGCCACATATAATTATTAAATATTCAACTAGAGACCTCAACTTACCTTGTTGGTGTTTGTCTTCTTGATTGATGCCACACATCTTGAAGTTAAGAATTGTTAACAATTTACGTAACCTATACTAACACAACACTAAAATTAACACTTAAAATTACTGTACAGTTCATTAAGCAAAGTTAGTTTTGACTGCCAGCTGCTGAAGCCTCACTGGTTGAAGGCATTTGGGTTGCCTGTGAGGCCTCACTTGTTGAAGGCGCTTGCTTGTGCCTCACTTGTTGAAGGCGCTTGCTTGCGCCTCACTTGTTGAAGGCACTTGCTTGCGCCTCACTTGTTGAAGGCGCTTGCTTGCGCCTCACTTGTTGAAGGCGCTTGCTTGCGCCTCACTTGTTGAAGGCGCTTGCTTGCGCCTCACTTGTTGAAGGCATTTGGCTTGCCTGTGATGCCTCACTGGTTGAGGTGTATAACACACAACTTGTATTTAATTATTAGGACAACCTTCTTCCTCTTAACACCTCCAGAACGATTGATGCTGCTACCAGACAGTCTTGGCCAAAAATGTTCAAAGTTACAGTATCCACTCAATTTAACGGCCTCTTTTATACCGATCTGCCGGTAATAACGACCGGTTTGGGAGACCGGTATTTAGAGCCTCATATAACGGTCTGGCGGTCGATATTACCGAAGGTCGGTATTGTGTTTGTCTTTGTATCAGAGGGTCCTCACATGGCAAGCAGGCCGCCTACCCCTTTCATCCCTTCCCTCACCCTCACTGAACCTCTACCTCCACACCCTCACTGCCTCCCCCCCCCCCCCAAGACCCTTCTGGGAAATGGCTCAGTAGACTGCCAGCCAGCCAGAGACAACCTGGAGAATATCCATCATTCATGAAACAAGTATTTTATAACTTTTTATTATCATAATAATATTACTAAACAAAATCTGTAATCAAAAATATATATGATGTACATCCAGAATTAAATAAAAAACATCTGGTTAACTAGGTCAAGCGTTAGGCTTATCTCTTCCCTTCCCCACCACCGACAAACACACCCCCACCCGCCCCCCCCCCCCCATACTTCCCATACACACGCTCTCTCTCTGCTTCACCTCATCATCCATTGCTCCATCCCTCCCTCCCTCTCTTCTTCCCTCCATCACTCCCTTCATCCCTCCTTCCCTTCCTCCATCCCTCCCTCCCTCCTTCCCAGCTCCCTCCCTCCCTCCTTCCCTCCATTCCTCCCTCCCTCCCTCCTTCCCTCCCTCCCTTCCCTCCCTCCTTCCCTCCCTCCCCTCCCTCCTTCCCTCCCTCCTTCCCTCCCTCCCCTCCATCCCTTCCTCCCTCCTTCCTTCCATCTAAACATCTGGTTGTGAGCTGGTCCCTTCCCCCACCAACGACACCCCCCCTCCCCCCCCAAACTTCCCATGCACACGCTCTCTCTGCTTCACCGCAACAATCATAGCGCCATCCCTCTCTCCCTCCCTCCATCAATCCATCCATCAGTCCATCCCTCCATCCATCTCCATCCACTCCCTCCCTACCACCCAGCCTCTGCCTGCCTGCCTCCCTCCTTGCGGACCCATAGAATTACCCAAATCGGCCCAAATCGGCCCAAAACTACACAAATCGCCCTAGCATTACGTAAGTAATGAAGAAATATGGTATATTTACTTACTATAATGTTGGTGCTACACGTAGAACATGATCAAACCTATTTCTACTCTGAAATAATCTAATTTCATAACGAAATGAGACGTAAATATGTGAGAGGTGACGCCATAGGAAGTCGACGGTCCAAGCGACAATTGTGTGGAGCGACTTATCCAAGATATATGGTCGCCTGGAGAGTGTTTGCTGCCATAACAGCCTCCTGTACACAGTGATCCAGTCGTCGTATTTCATGGCTCAAATTGTCGCAAATTTAATTGGTAATATTAACAAGTAGAATGTGTATTTATAATAATATTTTTCATAAACAGCCACAAAATATTTAATATTTATTAAAAAAAAGTGTCTGGAAGTTAAATCAATTCCACATGACAATAAATTTGTTATATAGATACTAGCGTTATTCGTTGGTATGCGTTCGCTATTTAAACTACTCCTGTCCTTTTCGTTCATAGAACACCGAACCCTACACGCTCTCTGATATATTGCTTAATTAACAAATATTCACAAATAAAGATTATATTTATATATGTTATCAGAAAGGCAGATATAAAATAGTTTGTGTTAATGCATCACAGAGATTATACCTTATTAGAGAGGAAAAATATTCATATTTTAAACAAGGCTTCTTGGCCGACGCTCTCCCTTTCGATGGGAACTATGACCTTTTGAAAATCAATGTTAATTGAATCTAGATATTGTAAAAAACGAAGTTTTTTATGTCATCAGAAAGACATATAAGCTGCATGTTAATACTTTGGTATAAATATAACTGAAGTGAAAGTGAAGATATATGTCTTTTTATAGTTACTTGATGGCTCGCTCAGGGAGTGTGAAGGCCTGCACACAAGCCAATCAATTTTATAATTAATGTACATATATGCAAAGTAACGTCAAAGGTTTTTATTTCAGAATAAAGACAGATGTAGACGATAATGTAAATACATTTCAAGGAAAACATATCTTAAATGAAAGCAAAGATATGGTCAAATAAATAGGCAATACCACACCATCGCCAGTGTCCGGACACATGAATATTCACATTAGGTAGGTGAAAGGAAATGTACCCAACCATTTCCATTTACGCGACCAGTTTCCGTTCTTATGTTCTTACTTACATTTATTGAAATTTATCATCATCATCATTTACAGAAATAAATTAACAAAAATGTAGTAATTTTAATACACAAAATAGAAGTAGATATGTATGTAAATTATGACGCAGGATAGGATCACTATTGCAGAACTATTCGCATACTTTGCGTCATTATATACAGTACTGGAATTTAAAAAAAATCGCGGAATTCAGAGATAACACCATCATTGGTGTCCAAGAAAAGTGTAAGTACTTCATTTATAATGATGTGCTGCCCAAAATCTTAGCGAAGTATCTAAAATTTGCTTACTGTAAGTAATTCATGCAAATGATTGTAAAGTCGTCGCCCAGTTGGATGGGTGTAGAGCACATGACTGTTAAGCTGCCGCCCAGTTGGTTGGGTGTGGAGCACATGACTGTAAAGCTGCTGCCCAGTTGGGTGGGTGTGGAGCACATGACTGTAAAGCTGCCGCCCAGTTGGGTGGGTGTGGAGCACATGACTGTAAAGCTGCCGCCCAGTTTGTTGGGTGTGGAGCACATGACTGTAAAGCTGCCGCCCAGTTGGGTGGGTGTGGAGCACATGACTGTAAAGCTGCCGCCCAGTTGGGTGGGTGTGGAGCACATGACTGTAAAGCTGCCGCCCAGTTGGTTGGGTGTGAAGCACATGACTGTAAAGCTGCCGCCCAGTTGGTTGGGTGTGGAGCACATGACTGTAAAGCTGCCGCCCAGTTGGGTGGGTGTGAAGCACATGACTGTTAAGCTGCCGCCCAGTTGGGTGGGTGTGGAGCACATGACTGTTAAGCTGCTGCCCAGTTGCGTGGGTGTGGAGCACATGACTGTTAAGCTGCCGCCCAGTTGGGTGGGTGTGGAGCACATGACTAAAGCTGCCGCCCAGTTGGGTGGGTTTTCCTGAAGTTTTCCTGAATTAATATATTTTCTCAAATTTATTTCTTATGAAATGATAAAGCTACCCATTTCATTATGTATGAGGTCAATATTTTTTTATTGGAGTTAAAATTAACGTAGATATATGACCGAACCTAACCAACCCTACCTAACCTAACCTAACCCATCTTTATAGGTTAGGTTAGGTTAGGTAGCGGAAAAAGTTAGGTTAGGTTAGGTTACGTAGGTTAGGTTGTCGAAAAACAATTAAGTCATGAAAACTTGGCTTATTAGGCAAATCGAGCCTTGCATAGTAGGCTGAGAAGTGCGTTCTGGCTACTAGGTAGGTAGGGTTGGTTAGGTTCGGTCATATATCTACGTTAATTTTAACTCCAATAAAAAAAATTGACCTCATACATAATGAAATGGGTTGCTCTATCATTTCATAAGAAAAAATTAGAGAAAATATTTTAATTCTGGAAAACTTGGCTTATTAGGCAAATCGGGCCTTGCATAGTAGGCCGAGAAGTGCGTTCTGGCGGGTCCATAGAATTACCCAAATCGGCCCAAACCTACACAAATCGTCCTAGCATTACGTAAGTAATGAAGAAATATGGTATATTTACTTACTATAATGTTGGTGCTACACGTAGAACATGATCAAACCTATTTTTACTCTGAAATA